TGCCCGACATTCTTTCCAGAGGTGAGTGCATACACGTGTCTAACATAATATACTGTAGAGGAAACATGTGTTGTTCCCTGAAACCATCAAGTATTATATGCCATCAAATGCAATCCGCTTCCAACCTTGGAGGTGAAGGGTTGGAACGTTCACCTTTTTTTTTCGCTTCGAAACGAATGTGAACTCCGAGGCCAAGGTGTGGAAGCTCTCCGAGGAGATGCCAGCCGTGTGTGCGACCTAAACTTTGAGCGGGATGGGGGCTTAGGTCGAGTTCGCACTGATTATCATATGGAAAACTCGGTGGATTTACACTCCATGCGAGAATGGAACATGCAAAGAGAATCCCTGAAAGACCGTTGTTTGGATGGTTGTTTTTGACTTGCATCATTGCTGGAAGAAGGATATGTCAATATCTACAGTGTAGGGATGTGTAGGGATTGATGGTTATTCTGGATGTTTAGAATATGTATATATATATATACCCTAAGGCTCCAAGTACCTCCTTGGAAGGTATGACTGGACCCTCTAAACCCACCCCAGTCCCACCTGCTAAGAAGGTCCGACTGGAGCCCTAGGGATACATATTTTTGTTGTCAGTTTTCTTTTTGGTCGCTTGTAGGTAGTCCACCTTCCTCGCGCACTGCGGCCAAACTCGTGGGTGTGGGTGGGGTCGGGTTCGCCGCTACGCAACCGCTGGGGACGACCGAAGGTCGTTGTGTACCTCGCCGTTGTTTCCAGAAGATGCTGGAGGCGCGCAGCCGGCCAATCTTGGTGCTTGGAAGCTGGTCGATAGGTTGGTCTCAGCCCGGGATCCTATCCCCGCATACGCGATTGGCCGTGTTCAGCCGATTTTTGGAAGTGTTGGCAAAAATTGGCTCCCAGCTTGGTAATGCTTAGTTGGTTTCACCGTGTAACCGTGTAGACAGTGTAAGGAACACCTGGTTCCTCAGGTCTTTTCTCTCCATCGCGTCAATCCATCGAGTGGATGGGTGATTTGAGGCGATTCTCCTCCTCGGTCCTCGGGGGCGCATGATGACGCACCAGGTCGTCAAGACATGGAGGAGGACCATCGTCACCAGGTCATCATTTAGATGACCATTTGCTGGACCCATTATCATCGTCATATCGTCTCCACATGAGAAATCATTCCACATCAGTTACCGGCTCCAGTTACCGGCTTTTTGTCGTGTTTGACATCATGAGCCTTTTGAGCCGTTGACCATGGAAAAATATGGCACAACGTTTCTGTGAGGAACCCATCGCTCCTCGTGTTCGCAACCGAACATGCTGCACCGGTTGCGCCGTCCTTTGCACCGTCCTCCACCAAAATGTCAGTCCTCCAAGGATTCTCAGGACGTGGAGGCCGAGAATGACTCGTGTATACTGTATATGGTAATATACAGTGAAACTTTGTTTACAAGCTGAAATGACCAGGGAAATCATTTTAAGAAAAGTTGACTAGCATCAAGGGCGTCGCGGTGTTGCTGCCTTTTTTAAATATGACGATGCTTTTGTATAAAGGATGTCTCACAAATGATCAAGCATCATAGTTAATTAATCATCATAGGGCCTGATTAGTATACTAGGACTGAGCTCTCTTGGTATTGCTTTTGGTACTCTCGATTCTTGTGCTGTTTGATGCATAGTGCATTTGCACGTTCAGCTGGTTTCTATGTTTGTGTATTTTTGGTGGAGTGTTTTGTTTCACCTATTTTTTCACAGTTGTGCAAGCTTACGTAGTAATTCCCCGTGTCTATTGATCTATCCTTCTTCCGCGTGGCTGTTGGGAGCCTATTTGTGCTCGCGAGAAGACAAGGGCCTGGTTTGACACGGTGGGTTTGAACCTGAAGTGCGCACCAGTTTCTCAAGTCCCATCCTGTTGCATTTTGATATCCATTTGGTTTAAGGGCTTCTGGGCGCGTGCTCTACGTGTTGAGGCTCTGGTGCAAGCGCTGGACTGCTTCACTTGAAGGGCGGCTTCCGTCCGGGACGCCCGGGGGGAGTCGGTCGTGACTTGTGGATGATCCCTAACCGATGGATGTTGATTCCAGCAGGAAAAAAGAAGTCTCCCTATTTCTCCGTATTTCTACACCCGCCCAAATATGATATATACATCATGAGTATACATCATCATGCCTTGACATCTTCCAGTGGGTGCGGACCAAAGCTGCTGAGTGAATGACTCAAACACATGAGCGACATTCCTCATGCGGCAAGCTCTTCATGCTTGGAGTACGAATTGCCCCAGAGGCAGATGGATTCCCATCACAAAGAAGGCCCTACAACTCGGTCAATAACTCCCAATGTAGATCAATGTAGACTCTTGATTGATCCCTTGACTATTGGGATCCATTTGGATCATGAGAAAAAAAAACAACTTTACAGTGGATTGAGAGTAGATGGCAGCACAAACCCCAAGATGTCTTTTATATAGGGGTCCATATAAACCACCTTTTGCGGAGTGTGCCATCTACTCTCAACCCACTGTAACGACAACTTATTAAATATTAGACATCGGGGATGTAGTCTGTTATTGTCCATTTGGACGGTTGATTTTAAAAAACAACTTATGTATATGGGGTTGTTCTTGAATCAACCGTCTACATTAGACAAGAACAGAAGTTCCATTCAATCGGCCCAACGACGCTCCCCCGGTTCCAGGGTTTCCTTCACAAAAGGTAGCTTCATGAGTTTCGGGACATGATTGAACTGCTACATAAACCCAAATGAACCCAAACTTCAAAAGGTTTTGCTTGAGGACCTACAGTAATAGGTATAGCTTCAAGCGTTCTCATTGTTGTGAGTTTGCTGGCCGCCACGATTCTTAATGGACTACCTACCCTGAGGCCAAGAGCACTTGCTGAAGACCTGCGCAGCGGAGATGGTCTTCAGATAAAATCTGGGGCAAAGCGGAGCGCCAAGTCTCAAGGACGCTGCGAACGGGGCTCCTGGCCTTCCTACTACGAGCAAGGACGCTACTGGGGGCTAAGTCTACAGAGGCAACATAGTCTACCCATCGACCGGAAGAGTCCAGCATAGTCCAGAGTAGTCGATGGATCGATCAGCTCATGCGGCACGAGGTCCTATGCGCATGGGCGCACAGTCATACGGAACCACCAGGATTTGGTGAAGGATTTGGGGTGATGATCTCTTTGATCTCCAAGCCGCATGAGCAGTTCTATGCAGGTCTCATATCGCATGAGGGTCTTGTCATGCCCTACCCTTGAAGACTCAAGTACCGTCAGAGGTCGACTGCTGCTTTGGGACGAGGACCTGAAGCACAAGAGGCTTCGCACTTGTCATGTGTTCACTCCTCAATCCGTGCTTTTTTGAGGTGGGTGCTAAGAAAAGTGTGCCTGGGACACCGTTCTGATCAAGGTGTCCATCCGTTGCTAATTGTCGTGTGTTGGTTCTTTGGTGTTGTTGGTGTTCCTTTGTCAATTCTGACATGCATGGCTTGCATACCAAGAGCCCAGGGGCTCGAGCCTGGCAGAAGTACTACTGTACAATGAGAATACATGAAACACATGACATGACTATCACTGACAGGAAGAGCATCACAGAAGCCAATTAATGGATCCCTTGGTGTTTTCGAAGTCGGCAGAGAATTACCCGTGCCTCCCAAAGAATCTCTTAGTTTGGCAGGAGACTTGCCGTGAGAAGACTCATTCCAAAGGCGGTGTCACATGGTGTTCAGCAAAGTTCCCGCCGCAACCGGGTTTTGTTTCGGCTTTTCTTATTGCCCTCGGTCTCGTTCCATAGCGCGGAGCGCCCCAAATGGACGGCGATGAGAGCGTGGCCACCGCTGCCAGTGGCCTCAGAGACGAAGATGTGGAAGCGAGAACACAAAGGCTTCATGGCCTAAGAGCGATGGCCTCCACCGGGATGAGAAAGCAGTTGTTTGGCCGCTTGGCGAGGCGGAAAACTTGGGTTCCACCTTTTGGGTCTGACTTTGCTCGTGCTGCGGCTGCGGTGGAAAGATTTCTCGGACCCATAAATGAACTTCTATTCCACCAGCTTTGCCCCAGCAAATTAATACTACCCGCCTTGGATAGTGGGGTTGGATGGTTTTGATCATGGAGCTTCCCTTCTCGGAAAATGAAGCACGTGCCCCGCTCACCCCCACTGATTTCTTTGCAGTGAGCCTGGCGCGTCAAATAAATGGTTGACAAAAGGAAATGCATGAATCAACATTGACGATGTGCAACTATTTCATCCACAGTATCAAACTGTTGGAAATATCGCAGCATCCAATTATTCGGATGCCGCTGGCCGCTGTTTGAAGAGACGCGCCAGCCATGCGAACTGTTGAGGTCCGGATCTTGAATGCCTTGTCATCTGAGCAGTTGAGCCAGGCGGTTTCGGAGGAAGCGCAGTCGCCCGCAGAACGGGCAGCCGGAGGGGTGGCCGTTTCGAAGATTTTCGAAGAACCTCAGTCACCAATCGAGTCGTTTGAGATTGTTTGCTGTTCTATTTGAGGGTGACGGTCCCCTGTTCTTGTGCTTTTTTGGTGGTCAATACATGTCAATACTCCAAAAAAGCGTAGAATCAGACACAGGCATTTGATGATTTATATGCTCTTCTATGTGGCACGTTTTTGATGCTTGCCTTGCCTTCACACACAGTGCCGTATACTGCGTTTCACTATGCCATCCCGTATGGCTACGATGATGAGTGTTTGTGGAGACTTGTTCGTTCGACAGACCAACGCAACTATATCGTCTCGTTTGCACACCACGATCGGCCCTGGTGATTCGGGTTGACGTTCCCAGTGAACTTGTCCACCAATGGATAGAGCTGGGATGAAATAGAGAGATTGCAAGAACTCTCAAGAAATTCGATCCAGGGGTTATTCCTCTCCTTCCTAGTAGCCCACCTATGCTTGACCCTGCTTGAGACTGCCACATGACCAGTCTCAAGCAGTCGACCTCAGACAGGTGGCGGATGACCTCTCCACCAGTGCCTTGCTCGGCCTTGTGCCCCGCGGGCCCGGTGCCCAGCTGGGTGGCTGGACATGAGGCGCCACAAGAGATGGTAGGCCTGGATGGTAGGTGAACCATGGTGAACCTGTCCCAGTAGGTGAACCTGTCCCCCTTTTTGATGTTTGAGAGAAGGTCAAGAGACGCACCCCAGGAACCTCATGTTGGGCCAACATCACTCCAACCAGTGTATATATACACAGTACCTGCTCATAAAGTCTACGTCGACTTGGGAATTTCCAGCCGGACATGAGAGCACCGCACCAAAGAAAAACACAAAATGCACTTGAGCGTCACCAAGGCAGGCAAGGCTGAATGCTTTGCACCAGCAGGTGCCGGGAGACGTGCGCATGGTACCGGTGTTTGGGAGCCCCAAAGGTGGCACAATCGGGAGAGACGTGCGGCACGGCCGTGGCGCGAAGGCGGACGGTTTTTGTCGTGTTTCTTCACGAGAACAAGCTAGTTTCTTTGAGCTGCTTGGCAGCCGCATATATACTATATATAGCTGCAAAAACGTTGCAAGAAGAACAATTTACGACGTGCCTTGTTTGGTTGAAAGTGAAGTCCCAGATCCTTCAAGTTTGGCGTCCGCTCATCGCATCCGCGTCAGGGGAATGTGCCTGTTGGCGTTGGGTGCCCAAGACGTCCCGTGCGTCTCGTTGACTGGTCCAGGGATGGACTCACCGCAGGGCATCACTGGGTCGAAGACCACTGGTAACATCACCTCCAAAGGTAAGGATTTCCTACTAATGCAAGAAATTATCCTTTACCATCATCTCCATCACTTGCAATCCTTACCAAAGATCGGCGGCAAGAACATCACCTCCAAGAATTGGAGTTATTGTTTTTTCAGGGGCATTGAGCTGGATTGAGATGAACTAGGGCACTAGGGGGTTCACATCATCTACAAAGGTCCTGTAAATTACTGTAATATTCTTTCCCCGATGAATGTAGACTCTTGATTAATAACACCCCTCATTTGAATTCAATACGGGTGCTCCAATACGGGAAATTAATCAAGAGTCTACATTAAGGACCCCGTGTTATTAAACCAACTCCCGTGTTCTTAAACCACTCCTGATATAGATAAGATGGTTTAAGAACATTCCCCTCATACGAGTCGACATGACTTTGAAAACAATATCATTTCAGGTCGCTCTTGTGGCCGACTTCCCGGCCAGTCACCCGCTCGCCGGTATCGGTCGCTTCGGTCGCTTGCTGGGCCTTTTGGTATCCTCCCAGGGTGCCACACCGGGGCGCAGCCCGGAGCAGGTGGGATCCATGGGTGTTGGGTTCTAACTTGAATTGTTCTATTTCCAGCAAAAAATAGTAGATTATTGTTTAATTGTTCTAACTTGGATGGTTCTAACATATATTTACATACATGCATGCATGCATGCATACATACATACATACATACATACGTACATACATACATACGTACATACGTACATGCAATGCTATGTAGATGCTAGATTGATTTCCAAACATACAAGGGTAAAACCATGCAAAGCAAACTTCTGGGCCTCACGTTGATCTCTTGTCCAGATGTTCACTGCTTAGGAGCCAGCATTTTAGGCCAACATCGGTCAGGCTCTCATGGACTCCGAAGTGTAGCTGTGCACCTGGTCAGGTTCCACACTTTCCTGCTAGCTTTGCTGGGTCCATTGGCCCACTCCTATGTACTTATTGCCTGTGTTACAGTGTTGGGATGTAGCAATGGGTTATGTATTCATACCTTGCCGGTCATCGACGTGTCAACCTGTTCCCGTTTTGCCGCTGTCCGCTGCCGTTGTCCAGCTTGGCCACAAAATGGTAGGACCGCACGCGTCACGGCACGTCATCGGCAGCTTGATCACGTAGGCAGAAGTCGCGTCACCTGCAGCGAACTCACCCATTCCTAAACCAAAAACCATCACTCCGGAAAGTCCCAGACCCTAAGGTGACCAAAAAATTGATAACTCGGTCAAGGCATCTAAGATTGCATTGGGTTCCCATGGGTGGCAACTGGTGGGTGCACATTAATCACCTGCTGCCATACCAAGCCACATGTGTCCCTCAAAGGGCATATTGATCTTCAACCAAGACAAGTGTATAGTCACTGGGTTGGTAAGTCATCTCCTTGGCCGCGCATCCTGTCATCCTCCAGTGCCCTTTGGCACCTTTGGGTCGATTTTCCTCCCGCCATGGGTCAAGCAGATGCAGAACCTCCCATGGTGGGGACGGAGATGCCAGAGGAGAAGGAGCCAGGAGGCTTGATGGCCTTTCTTCAGAAGTTGGCCCCAGTAATCATTGAGTTTAGTGCATGCAAAGTATGTATGCAAAGCTCTACTGTTGGGTCAAGGTACCTCTATAAGTATAGTGCACATCTCTAGGGTGGTGGTTGGAGCCCTTCTCGCGATGCAAACATGTCAGGTCATGTTCAAAGTACAGCGCTTGCCCTCCCTGAAACCCAGTTGATGTTTGTCGCGTTTGTAGCGCCATGATGCTGCTGAGGGTCGATTTGACATCAATGACTGAGCTTGATTTTGGGGCCTGGGCCTCCTTGACCCATAGAAGATCATAGAAGCATTTGCTGAACCCCGCCCTAGCCGTGCCACACAGTTTTGATGCCTTGAATTGCCTTTGCTTTGTCATCCAGCTAGTCCCCTCCAGCTAGTCCTCTCCACCTGTTGAGATCTCCCGAGCCGTCGCCAGGTGAGCTCATGGTCTTCGATGACGGCTCGATGACCGCGGACAAAGCACAGTCGAGCGCCATGAGTGGCTTGGAGGTGAAAACTGCGCCGCTGCGGCCGCAGAACGCCCCGCGCGTTGGAGCCGTAGCACGACCATTCGCCGCCAGGCCCAGCTGCGTCTGGGTCTTTCGGCGGGTGAGCACCAACCTCCTGAAGCTCTTTAAGGGAAAGCGAGCCGGGGGATGGTGCAAGCTCACTGATGCGAAGGCGTTTGGAGACTGCCTTGCTTTTGGACAGATCGCACCAGGGATGTCCTAACCAGGAACGTTAAGGTGATCAGACGCCCAGGGTGGGCCATGCGCCACGCGTTTGGAGGTTTTCCATGGTTTTCCCGGCTCAAGATTGGTTCCTCGTTCCTTTGCGGGCGCAGCCGGTTCTTCCTGATCGCTATGGAGCGTGTCAACCGCCTAGCAGCCCATGTGTGCCCACTGTCGCCACAGCCGGTGGCAGGGACGGGAATTTTGGAGTTGATGAAGGCGAATGGGGAGCATTTGGATGTTGGGATTTGGGTTTAATGACAATCAAACAAAGAATCATCAGCAAAAATCAAGAATGATCATAAAACAAGGAATCATCAACAAAAATGTAACATAATGCAACAGGTCCTGCTGCATGTCGGCGAACGAACGGACGATGCAACGAACCAAGTGGAATGTCCACAAACATCCTGAAACATTCCAACTTCACCCCAAGACTCAGTTGGAGACTTATGTCATCCGCTCACATCCCCGACCTCAGGTGGATCCGGCCGATCCATAGGGTATCTCGGAGTCTGAAAGGAAGCCCAAGATGATCCAAGAGGTTTTTGTTAAATACTATGTTTCGTGTACTGTGCGCACTACTAGGCAGTGACTAGGCGGACATGGAAATGGGAGGAAAATAAACTATATTATATATCGTATCCTTGGCCACTTCGGTGACTCCACCTCCAAGTTAAATAGGGACATTCAAGCTGATGTGTTGCATGACTGCACGAGAAGACCAAGTTGCATCTATATATATATATATATATGTCCAATGCCGCCCAAGCCATGTCGTGGATGATCTATGTGCCAGAATTGCATAGAATTGCTACAAACCTGTTTGTAACCATGTGGCATCTTTAGTTCTTTCGGACGCCCGGTGTCTTTGATATGTTTAAGTTAAACCCCATCTCTCCAGCCCGTGATCACCGTCTTGCCGCGCCGCAGACAAAGATCGCCAAGCTCGCGAAGGAGAAGGCTGCCTTGAAGGCTGACTTGTTGAAGAACCACGGTGAGCGAGCCTTGCCTTGGTCAAATGGAAGAATCGATGATGGCATAGCGAGTTCGGATGACCGTTTGCATACCAAACAGGTGGTGAACAATGGGTCATTTCTTCGTGTTGAGACACTTCCTGGAACGAAGTGGAGAGTTGGGCCCCAGGGTCGTTGAGCATGGACCGCCATAGATATTCGATGACCATAACGAGGTGGTGAACTCCATGATGATTCCAGGGAGTCAGATGTTCAGTTCCAGTTTCAGTTCCCTCCGCCTCACCCTAAAACTTGGCTTCGTTGGGGTGTGTCTACCCCACCCCACCCTTCGCCGTCTTCCGTCCCTTCTCCCAGTCTTGGCAGCCAAGCCACATGGAGTCATGGAGGGCCTCTCTTCCCACTGGAGAAGGCCATGTGAGGGATCCCTCGCTTCCAGTGCGGCCTCTTCTTCTCTTCAGTCTTGGATCTTCCCTCGCTTCGTCTTCCGGAGCTGCCGCTGAGGGAAGATCCAAGATGTGACGGTGGAGATGGCCATCAACGGCGCTCGAGCCATCAAGTTCCGAGTCGTCAGATCAGTGCGGGTGCAGACGACGTGACGCTTCCCGGGTGCACCAACCACCGGACATTGGCCCCATTCAAGTAGCGAAGACTTGAAGAGAAGGTTTCAGGATTTGGGATGATTGGGGGGGTTATATCATGTTTGTTCAACAACATTCAATTCAACATCTAACATAGACACGCAGAGAATTATCATGAATTATCATTCATCATCATCATCATTCTTTCTGCGATTTGGCCAAACCGTAAGGATTTGACCATATGAAACACTATGTCTTCGTCAATATGACCATGTTTGACCAACCCCGGACTGCAGCAACACACTGTAGCAACCTCTCCATGTCGTGTGCCGTTTGCAAACCGGCGCTTCAGGCTCCCTCGGTGTGTCACCGGTTCGACGCACAGTTCCGGTTTGCGGGGACGGACAGGTCGATGGTCACAGAGACTTCGGACTTGGACGCCAACAAGGGCATTGCTTATCGACATTTGTCGCTGTATGACGCCTGGAAGGTAACGGGTTGGTGGGGATGGGATTTGTTTTTTGGATGGGGAGGATGCTTTTTTGGTAGGGAGTCTGAAGGATTCAAGTGGTGGGAGGTGTGGAGGGAGGTGGGTGAGATGGGCATGAGTTTGATCAATCATGCAAGGGGACCAGTGCTTTTTTGTAGATGAACCAACCCAGAAGCGCCACAACTTGTGGGGTCTGAGGGGGTGAAGAACATCTCGGAGGAGGCTGATGTCTTGATTCATGTTGGAGCTGTATTTTCTGTGTGTGTGTGTGCTTTCTTCGGCGCCAAGAGAAGCAGAGATGCTATACTGAAGATGGATTTAACATGATTAAAACAATAGATATTGATATAGTACGTAGTATTTATTGATTAGATAGATCAGACAGCTATTATGGCGTCATGGGACACCAGGAGTGTTTTTTACGCCCCCCCAAAAGTATGAAGTTCTTTGCCTTTGGTCCAGCCGCTAGCCCGGATGCACACCGAACCAGAGGTGGCCCCTGGACCGATGGCGCCACGCCTAGGAAGTCAACACGAAGCTGCCGAAAGCACCAGGCCCGCTGGCGCGGGGGTGGTGGAAAACTATAGTCATGCTTCCTTCCTTAGGCGCCGGGACCTGGAGTGGAGTGGCGCAAAGGCCCCAGAAAAACGGTTTTGGAAGAGAGGATTCTTAGGAAATTCATGTCGACTGGCTTGTTTTGATCTCTCATTCAAGAAGAAGCCAGTCACCTCAGGCACCTCAAGTTCTTCCAAGACACAACTGCTTTCGGCCAAGAAGACCTCCTTCTCCGTTTTTTTGAGCCAAAAAGACCAACGGATTTCGGCCCGACTCCCCGACCTCCCCCCCGTGGGCAGGGGGCAGCGTGGCCTTGCCGGAGGGCGCCTTTTGGCTGCTGGTCACAGGTGAGGAGCCCTCCGCTGAGGAGGTCAAGGGCATGACTGAGGCGCCGCAGGGAGAGGGGAGCGGGAGAGGTGCGGAGAGAGATGTTGAGAGACTTGTGGTGTGTTTTAGGCATTTTGTTGCGGGGAGGTTGAATGACAATGGGCGAGTCATTAAATGTTAAGCATGAATCATTGATTTGATTTATAGTCATGGTAGTGATGGGAACTGCGGGCTCTAGGGATATCTGCAGCATCTAATGGGTCATCAGTGCATTTGCCGTCCGATAAAGATCCAGCATGGGAGCTGTTGCAGTGGCCAGCTACAAAGAGGCAAACACAGGCACTGTATACCAATTTGAGACTAGCCCAGAGTCAGGTCGAAACAAAGGTTCCAAAAATCCGACTCAAACCCTTTGTCTTCCTGAAGTCCCTTGTTCTCCGAATCACTGCCCTTGTGAGGGCCTTGTTGGCCCTGCAGGGGGGTGTGGAAAAATCAGACAGTGCGATTCCTTTCTGCAGTCAATGTGCCGGTCATTCTTTAAGTCACAACCATGGTTCTTTCATTTCCACAATGCTCGATCCATCGGATCTGTACCCGATAGGGGCATCCTATTGCCCTCAAAGCGCCGTCCTTCATCGCAGGAGCTCCACAAGCGCGCGACGATCCCTGCGAACGTCATGACGACCATCGATTCGTTGCCCAAAGAGACTCACCCGATGACTCAGCTCTCAGCCCCATGACGACGCAACGAAAGAGATCTGTGCAGTCTTCGGCCCCATGAAAGGGCCGTACGTCGAAGGAAAGAGAGACGTACTGGATCTATAACAAAAGAGACCCGATCTATAACAGCTACCCAACCTGTTTTAGAGGTGTACTTTTCGCCAGTTGGATGTTGGCTGTATGTCGGCTGTGTGCAAACCTCCTTACTTGTGGCAGGCAAATGCTAGAAACAAATACCTGCAGTACACGGGATACACTGACTTGACAATTGGTCCGAAGTGAGTTTTGGAGTCCATGTGCAATGCTGAAGCTGTTACATAATATGTTTTCGTGCAAGAACTTGCATGTTGAAGAGAAAACTCAGTGGTTTCAGCCAAAGCAACTTCGTTTACACATGGACCCGTGCATGAAACCATGGAAACCGAGCGGGACGCACCAATGCACTCGGTGATGAGGTCGCTATGTTGGCCTTGCAAAAGGACTCCAAGTTTTTCAAGAAGTATCAGGAGCGGAAATCTGCGCGTCAGCTGAGCCTAGGGCTACTAGGGCAGTTTTCGGGCAGCTGGGGCACAAAAGCAGGGAGAGATTTGCAGAGCTGAGTTGCAAAGCCTGAACATGGACCATGGAGATGTTAAAACCTAAGCCTGTGGGCCATGACCTGTCTCATGAGATGGCCGTCTCAGTGTACTCAGTAGGCTGATCCTGGCCTGTGCGAGCCGTTTGAGAACTGGCCGTTCTTGCGACACCTTCGCGGTCCCATCAAAGCTTCAAACATCCAAAGATCGGACTTTCGCGCTTGAGAGCTAGACTCATGTTATTTGCCTTTGGCAACTTGGTTGCCTTGTTTTGTGTATGGTTGAATACCGTGGTTGATCGCAGCCTGCATGGCTGTCAGCCTGGAGGTGGGTATAGAAAGACTGAACATTGTAGAACTGTAAAGTTGGTTGGATCTGTCACCCAAAGTCAATGCACAAAGTACGCATCGTTTTTTACTTTTGACTTCTTTGGGGGGGTCCATTGCAACGCAATGCGGTTGCTTACACAAAATGTGGTTGGTTACACAACATGATGCGACACATCACCACTTGCTGAACAGTAAACCCAGCTCACCCCACAAATGGTGGTTTGAACACAGGCATAAATAATTAATCATAATATCTAGGCAGCCTGGTCGACAGTAACAGACAGAAGACGGTTTACCAACAGATGTTAAGAATTGCAGGCAGCTGCTCCTGGGTCGGATTTCTATAGGGAATTCTTGGCAGCAAGGCTTTTGCACATACACAAAGTGACTTGGACAGATAGCGACACCTCTATTGTTGATGATGTGTCCAAAAAGCACGAGATAAATCTCACGATATGTCCCTTTGACATCGGATCATACCGGATCCATGCCAAATTGCTGTGCCTTCCCCCCAAAAAGACCTACTTTTTTCCAGTCAGATCGCAGACATTTGTCATCCTCTGAATCCGAATCCGTCCTCCTCGCGCTGCGCCCAACAACGCGACGCGTGCCAGGAGGGCATGAAGAAGGATGACTATTGGTCCTACGCCCTGGAGGATTGCCTCGATGTGGTCGCCAAGGTCCCCATCATCGCGGCCAAGATCTACCGACGCACCTTCCACGATGGGAAGCTCCCAGAGCAGCTTGATGGACGCGGCGCGCGCGTCAGCGCGCGCGCGCGCATTTCGCGCTCAAACGGCGCGGGGCAGGTGTTTGGTGGCGGGTGCCCGGTGGTGGGGAGTTTGGCACTTCTGCAGATTGTATATGTGCTTTTCAATAGGGATCCACCCAGCCAGTGCTTTTGGTCTATGTTCCTTCTTCCAGGGGGTCTTTGGGTGGTCTCCCTTTTGTGATGCACACCGCGCACGCATAGGGTGTGGCCCAGCAAACCAGAAACAGTCCGGGCAAAAGATTCGATGGAGATGCCGACCTGCAACCAGGCCCCATCATCCACAGTGAGTTGCGTGCTTCGCACGTGGAAGAATTGGGGGACGCCACTTGGGGAGGCCTTGACCCATCCCCGGACCCAATGGACCCAAGGTACGACCCCAAATTGGACTGGGCCGCCAACTTCGCGCAGATGTTGGGCATCAACCAGAGTGAGGATTTCAAGGCAAGGCAACGGGCGATGTGACCGTTTGGTGTCGGTTCGGTTGTTGGTGCTCTTTATATGGCAAATGACCACAATAAGACCACCCGTATTGTGTTTTGATATGATGTTCTTAAGCTCTTTACACCTACAACATGTCCAAATCGACATCGTGCCATGTCAGGAAGCCATGCGCCTCTATTTGATGCTTCATGCAGACCACGAGGGAGGGCAGCTCGACCGCGTGTGTTTTGCATCACCGATTCAAATGGCTTGGATTCCAAGTCTTTGGTGGGTGTTATTCTTATATAGTTAGTTAGTTCCAAATGACATGCTGCATAATAACACCGAGCCAATGACAATACCACCAAGCAAGCCATTCTTTAAAGCCAAGTTAGTTCCAAGATGTTCCAAGCCAAGTCTTTAGTTCCATGCACTTTGACACTTTGAACCAAATCATTGTTTGAAGCGCGCAGGACCAGCGTTCAGGTTTACAGAATGACTGTAGGCTGTTCCTCGAGAGTCTACAGGAGTGTAACTTGAGAGGCGACCATGCATGATCTCACGCAGATGCATTTGTGGACCTTATCACAAATGCAATCCTCGAGTAGCAAGTGCCTAGTTTCAGGGAAATTGCAGGCTGAGGCCCGTGCAAAGGTACAAGGTTTGCAAAACCCTAGTGTGCGTGTCAGGCGCTTGTGAGATGCGACGCTTTTGCAGAACAAGTTTTTGAATTTGTCACTGTTCGTGTGGCTGCTCTGTTGAGCGCGCGCCCTGGTGGCCACCCCATGAAACCCCTCAAACGACTGGAGCGACGGCCCTTCCTAAAGGAAAGCGGGAAGTTGGAGTTGGGAAAGGGCCCGGAGGGCGCGCTAGAGGGCGGATTTCTTGAGGGCATTGCCTACCCTATGGATCCACATACCTTCTGAGAAGGTGGTTGGAGATTATGTATGTAGGCTTGGAGGGTCCAATTACCTTCTGAGATTGCAAAACAAGTATGTGAAAATCCGTCAATCGTGGGAGGTGACTCCGAGTGTCCTTACACACCGTGTCCAGCGGTGAACAGTGAACAGGCCACCTGAGACAACTGATGTTACAGACGAAGGCAGGCATTCTCGCACATAGGCCAGCTTGCTGGAAATTAGCTGAGCAAGTTGTTGCAGAACTGAGTCGGCTATCACATGAACGACCAGAACAACATGCTGTGTGCATAGAAGGAGATGTGCTAATATGTAGGAAATGTGATCGCTGGTGGTTTGCGCAGGCCTCGTCCAAAGTTTTGCGTCAACTAGGAGGTGAGAGATGTAGAGCTCAACCTCGCCTGTCGGCTTATTTTCCACAAAAACCTTGAGCTCATTGGACATGTGTGTAGGCACACTCGACTTTGCTTGGTTTGGATCGCCATTTTGAGGTGACGAAGGTGCTCAGGTACTAAGACCCACCGGTGACTCCCTTTCGTGCTTACGCATTCATCAAGAGCACAAGGATGCGTAGAAAGGTGAACGTAGAAAGGAAGTCAATTACTGTAAGCTTTCTTACATAGTTCAATGCAGTATGTCCATCTGTGAACAATAAACCGGGGACCCCCCTAAATTGCCCCTTCGACAACTCCAAAAGTTGTTCTGATTTTAAGGACAATAGTTTTTGTGGGAAAATGTGTTGGATAGTTTCATTGGAGGAGTATTCAATAATGAGTATTTAATGTGTTTCATTCTGGGTTAGTTGATGAATCCCAGGTCAACATGTTCCCCCCCTGTGCTTGGAGGATGCCCTGTGCTATCCACTCACCAGATGGATTATCCGTCCATTCATACCCACGCACGCGTGTCACACCTCTACCGCCCTACCTTTCGTCGTTTTTTCGCGCAACCTCTGTGGGTAGACCGAGTTCGCTCTTACCAACACTTAGAAGAGAGCGAACTTTCAGAGCACATTTCGGTGCTCATCCGTTTAGCAATTAGACCTGTCTATGCTTACCGCCCTACTCTGGCTGATCCAACCGTGACTGGCCCGACACTTCTTGTTCCACCGATCACCGTAGGTTCCACCGTGACCACCGATCACGTCGTCCCAAGGAACGTCTCGGCCCACGCCACACATTTGGTGGGCTCCGCCTTAAGCGATCCGTACTACGCCTGGGCCGCGGGCCTCTGTGGCCTGGCCGGTCCCCTCCATGGCCTCGCCAACCAGGCGGGAAAAACCCGAAGGAAGACGGAAGGGCAGGGTGGGTAGGTAGGATCGTAGGGTAGGTTGCTGAAGGGTGGACGGAAAGACAGGATGGTGGAATGAGCAAAGATGTTGGAAAGAGTGATTATACATGATTTGACACCATTTGTACATACACGATTTGATACGATTTGTATATACATATGATATAATATGTATATATATATATATACAAATGGTATCAAATCGTGTACACGTGTGTGTTGTGTGCATGTTTAGCCGGACTGGAGACATCGCAAGGACGTTCATGTTTCGGGTTCCGAATGAGTGAAGATGATGTGAGGCAGCGAAAGGTTTGATGACATAGGACCGTGCATAGGGACCGTAGGGTACCTGTGCAGAGCTTCCAATATCAATATCATGTTCATCGAATGCAGGTGGCCGCAGGCACGCACGGAACAGCACACCCGTTGTTCAATTGTGACGAACCAAGCGGCAGGAGTGCTTGTCCTGGCTTTTGGACGTCCAGAAGCAGCTGGGGGGTCAGAAGCCCACCAAGGAGAGATGGGCATTGTCCAAGATGTTTGGGTTGTGCCAGGATGCGCCAAAGGCATTAGACATCCAGAGACCACGTGATGGGAGGGCTGTAGTAGAGGCAAGGAAGGGTTTCTTCCAATAACTTCCAACCCCTGGCTTGGCCATGGCGCTTTCAGGTCTCCAATTGTGCACTGCCTGGCTGTTGAAGAACAGTTGTTCGGAGGTGTCAGTGTTCACTTTCGCGTTCGTCCGGTTAGGCTCGTTGTCTTTGGAAACTCGAGTCATTCAGAGGATTTGATGACCGATTTCGCCAACAAGACCCTGAAGGAGGGTAAGGCCTGGGCTTTGTTGTGGAGTGGGGGGCTTCGTGGCCACAACCCAGGAATCGTGGAACTCCAGAAGAGCATAGGATGGATAGTATGGAATATAATGGAAGTATTATCCGGTCGTCCAAAGTGGCTCAAGGAACAACCATCCATCCTGGAGCAGCACGGATCACATTGTCCACCCTGCACTCAAACAGACATATCTCAAAATCACCTCCAATTCTGGCTTGGGTTCGTCACATCATCCAGTGATTTTTTACTCAAATACCTCTGGCCATTCATCGGATTCATCTATATCGGACACCAAAAAACGGACCGCACCCGGTCACCACACGGCAGGTGATCCCCGGCTTCGGCCATGCGGTGCTGCGGAACACCGACCCCCGCTACATGCCACTTGGAGCGGTCCGGATCGGTCCGCACCGGGTGGGGCAGTGAGGGGTCGCCCGGTGGGGCGAACAGGAGGGGGATGCTGGTCGGGTGGTTCGGAGGGAAGAGATGCTCATTGGATGAGCGTGTTTGTTGCCAGGCCTCCCCAACTCAACATGTGAGCGTAGATGGTCATTGCAAGTGGGGGACCTCGTGTTTTCACCGGGATCTCGTGGCACTTCGAATACCTCAAACGCTTTGGGTGTGCATCTGTACCCAGCAGCTGTACCCCGCTGCTGGCTTCCCAAACCCTCGAAGCTTAAGGTTTCCCTTGTTCAACTCAATGAAGCTTGAGGTTGGAGCGTGAGTTTGCCTTGAAGCATTGCACGGAAGACCCATTGTTTCAGCTGGTGGATTCTTGCTATCAAGCTATCCCTCCAGTGCTGCTGAAGTACCTTGGCGTGGACGACCGCTGCTGATATTTTTGTCCATTGCACGGTTTTTTGGGGGTGTTGGAGGTTACACTGGTTTATACTGGTTTCATGGGATGACCTATTTGTATCCAAACACCATTCAAAAGACTCTTTTCCTTCAACCTTTCGAGCATGCTGTCCGACATTTGATGTGCTGAATGATGACGGACTTGGGTGACCTCATGATGGAATTGGGTTCTTTGGGTAGTCAGTGTAGTAGGTTCTCCCCCAGGTACCTACCAATGATTGACGTTTGATGATGTTTGCTGGTATTTGCTGAGCATTTCTTGAGGTCTGGCACTTGTTTTGGAGTTCCTGTGGAGTGCCAATCTAGGGGGAGAGACACGGAGAGAGAGAGAGAGAGAGAGAGAGAGATATTGAAGGTGATCATCATCCACATTCTTGAAATGTGCACATGTGCTTAGGAGTTCTTGGCCAAAAAGGATAAGTTACAGCAGTTTACAGTACAGGGATTCAAGATTCAAGGATCCTCAGAAAAGTTCTTCCAAAAATATTGAATCCTTTATGTAAAGTGTGTGGCCAAATGAAAGATGTATATATATGTAATTGGAACATTTTTGAACAAACGTATGATAGGGACTGGATTCAAGCTGCAAGATGTGTTGGCAAACGGTTCAGGGGCTCTTCTTTTATATAATCCAACACAATATGTGGGAACATCTTCTTGGACAAAAAGCTCAGAGACATGATGTCAATCAACTTGCCAAATGCCTGCATCCCTCTCAGTTGCAAAAAAGGCCACCACCAGCTGATAAAGGCCACCACCAGCTGATAAGCTAAATATCAAATAAACAAGATTAAATATAATGGATATGGCTGTGAAGGGCACCAAAGCAACGGTCTTTGTACAGCAGTCCATTGCCAAATCTGCTTTGCCATGTCACTATTTCAACTTGAAAATCATGGAATACAAAGACTAAAGGGCTACCAGGCTACCCGCTAACTGAGGAACTATGATGAACTAGACAGTATGCAAACAAGGAGCAATTAATACTGCAAGGATGTTTGCTAGACTGCTTGCAGCCGCTCTTCTGAAAGAGGAGGAACACATGTTTTTTTTCTTAATGCAGTTGGCCAATGGTAGCAAACTGTACAAAACAAACAAACACTGACTTTAGACATTCGCCATTGGTGCAGCTGCCTGCACCGGTTTCGGCAGGTTGATCAATTGAAGATGTGAAAAACATATGGCATCTACTTAGGGGTTGCAGAAGCCTGCAGAAGGTCACGATGTCACCAGGTCACGACCAAGGTCACGCACCTCGCGAGGTCAGACCGAAAGGACGATGAGTCATCCTGAGGTCGGATCTACGAGTAGATCTTGAGAGAGAGGATGTTGTTTTCACTTGTGGTGACCCAGACAGTATTATTCAATATCTACAGATATCTATCTATACTCGTACCGTATATATATATATATAGATGCCACCCTTGTCCTTTTGCCTTGGGAAGGCTCATGGGCTCACCCAACGATTGCAGCTTATCCCATTTTTCATGGATTATTTTGTTTGTTCTTGCGAGGTTTCATGAGGTTTCTGTTGATAGCTATTTCGCACTGAACCTGAGAACCTGACCCGCTGTCGTGTCAGATTCCCAAGACCCAAGACCGTGTCACTGACATGCCTTTTTGTGGCGCTCTAAGGCAGGGGAAGGTGAAGAACCCGTTTCCCAATGTGGATGCGCACTCGGGGCAGCTCATGCATTTCTATAACCTCAAAGAGCAGAATTTCTACACCGCCTCTCGGACTTTGCCACACCGCAGAGATGTTTCGCTCCCTTGGAATTCGCAAAAACAGGCAAACCTACTATATACAATCACAGACCCAGTTTGACTTCTTCGTCTCAGGGAACATCGATCATTGTCGATCCATCATGATCTACCGATCTATTTCAATCATCGTCGATCCTCCCGGTCCTCCCGGTCCACACCGACCCGGTCCGCTCGCGCGCGCGGACGTCTTCGCGGCACCGGTGCCCAGGTGGTCTTCGCTGTGTCACGGACCTTAGGCGTCATGGCGCAGTACATTTGGTCCAGGGCCGTGAGCCTTCCCATTGAGCGGCCCAAGTGACTCGGATAGAGCCGGCCAGACGCTCGCAGCGGGTGCGGGGTGCGGGGGGTGCGGGGAGATGTCTATCAGTGAGAGGGGGGGATGAGGTGATGGAGTCAAAGCCCTATAGGGTTTCCCTCTCACTTCTCCAACTTCCGAGCTGGGTGGCCCCCCTTTTTTATCCGCAAAAAGCGAAAGAAGGAACTAAAAGGTTTCTGAGCAGTGGGTTCCCAAGAATCACCTGAGGTCCCTCCCCTTAGATGAGCTCATGATCCTTGCGAAGAAGCACCGTTGGCAGCGGGAGAAGGGCAAGGTCTCCGACCAGCAGTGAGTGGCCGTTGAGCCGCGGCGATTCCGGCGATTCCGCTCGGGCGTGACGGCGGAGCGATGTCTCAGAGAATGGACCACGTGTGTTAAAGCAGCGAACCGGTGGCATGAACCTGTCTGGTCTTCATGTTGGGCAAGCGAGAAACGACCATGGACAAAACATCATTCTATACGCATCCCGAAAATGCAAGTCCAAATCACATCCAAAAGGGAACTGCCTTCTGTTGGGGGCTGAACAGAAAGACTGTGTATACGGTGGCTTTGGTTACTGCGCAACATTTGGCCTCGAACGCACTTCAAACATCTTCAAACGGTGTTTGGTGCACGACTCTCCCCAGTTGGAGATGTGCCCCGTAGCAAATTGCAACGGGGTTTTGTTTATAATTATGCTCCCAAGCCGTATGTGTCAAGTGCCCAAAAGATTTCCCTCTCAAAATGACACTGAGGCTTGCTCACAAGACGGCCCAGCTCAGTATGTGTTTTTCTTGTTGAGGGTGGTTTGATGACGATTCAAGCAAGCCTCCCCCACTGACATGACAAATTGTACCCATTGCAGTCACGCCTTCTAACGGGTCATGACTTTCGTCTTGACTGATTGGCTTGATCAATGGCAGCAGATGGTGGAGCCTCTGTGCCTGATCACAGTGATTTTAAAGAACACGCTGTGACATCAGGCACAATTTTGGCAAGAAAAGGTCCGAGTTCAGTGAGGACAGGATATTACAATTTCGTTTGTCGGCCTTTCTCATCACAGTTGTTGGGTGATTGTTGCTCGTTACAGAATCAGGGCACGCAGGTGCATCCATGCATATAAATTATTTGGTTAGAGCATGTGTGATTAATCCTTATGAATCCCAAAAAAAGGCTATACATTGGAACGGGTTTTGCCAACTGTTAACACCACATAAAACCACGGAACCCTAAGAAAACCTTCCAAGGGATCTCCAAGAGGTTCAGGAATGGCGTCCAACCCCCTTTGACGCGCCATCAAGAAGAAGACACATCTCAGGTCTGGTCATCAACTACGCCGACCCGGCGACGGCTGCGGGCACCGCTGTGCTCGGCTTGGGCTTGGTGGTGCTGCCCTTGTTGAGTGGCTCGGCGGAGATGGATCGAAGGAAGAGCACGGGGAGAGCTGGCAGCGAAGCAGCTGGCAGCGAAGCTGCTGGCAGCGTTGTTTGAGAAAAACTTGGTGGGTTGGAAAAGATGGGAAGGATGGAGAGGTGTAGAAGAATCGAAGAGTGTTTCGAGATCACCTTAGGCCATCCTTGGCCCCAGTGGGTGGTCTGCGTTGAAGCAACAGATCAAAGGAAAAGAGCATTTGTTGATTTAGAGGGAGGATTCAACGCAGATGTCCGAGAGCAAATGGTCAGCTTGCAGACCACAGGGCCCTTCATGTCGTAGCGGATCTTTGCCATCTCAACGGAAGCGATTTGGCGACCAAGAATGCCATGGGAGGAAGAACAAGAAGCTTGTGTGACCAGTTTTGTCTCAACATGAGGCCACAACATGTGCATTTTTGTCCATTGCAGAAGTCAGAATGTTGACAAGCCAATCATCCATATTGTGCATCATTCTCCACCTAAGAACATGTTTGGTATCAAGCGCGGGGCCGATCACCATTGCATCAAGGCAAACTCAATCAGATTCAAGCTGAAGAGACCTTCCAGTACAAATACCATGGAGAGACGCCTCTTGGTCAAAAGTGGATGGACTCACATCCTTTTTGGTCCCGTCGCATCCTCCTGCTGTTCGTAGATGGTAGTGTACAGATTCTTTTCATTTGGTTTCTGACCTCTTTCTAGGCTATCGGTGTCACCGGAGTCAGTCCCACCCAAGCCGGGAAGGGGAGTGTGGGCGCGAGCGACAGTCCGCAAGTGCGTGCATCCTTTTTGGTCCCGTTTAAACGGGATTTGCAGATTCTGACCTGGACTTGATGGGCTTTTCATGGTTTTTCAGATACTGACTTGGTTGTGCTAGCGTTCTGTGAACTTCCAGCACTGACAGCTCACAACACCCTAATTCCTTAGATTCTCACTGATTCTCATGCGCCTTTTCACCCGAACAGTTCAATCCCAATTCCTCACCGCTTCCGCTGATCTCGACCCCTTCAGGAATCCCAGGCAGCCCTTGCGGCTCTTCACTGAGTCCGAGCTGCGGCAGCGGCTGGGGAGCCTGGACGCCCATTGCGTGGCCAAGGAGATCGTCATGAGCACCGAAGAGCTGGACGAACACATGGAGGCGGACGCAGCGTCGACGACGCATTCGACGGACCGAAGCGACCGCGGTGGTGCCTCCGCCGCGGTGTTCAGGGAGTTGGACCGGAAGAACGATGAGGGAACGATGCCAGGGTGAACGGAAGAACAAGGAACACTGAGGTTTGTCGCCCAGAGGTTATTTTGGGAAGCGAGCCTTCTTTTGCTGCAAACCATTGCAAACCCTCTTTTGCTTTGACACCGTGGTTTACTTCTATATATTTTGAAAAACAATAGCCGCCGTTTTGTGCTTTGCTCGATCTGCGAGCGTTGCGCAGGCATCCAGCATGGAGGAGACGGACGATGAGGCCGACAAATAATTTGCTGCAAACAAAAAAGTGAAGTGGATCATAAGTAGACTATCTAGAGTTATTAAGAGTCTAGAGATTAGTGCATCATCAACATCCAGAGGGACCCTCATTCTTCTTTGGTGAGATTTTTCAGCTTCTTCCTCCACATTCAGATTTCCATGAATCGAAGCACCGATGGCAGGTGGGACGGATCCAGAAGTGGCGGGACTCAGTGAATGGTCACTTGCGGAGCTTGCAGAAGCGCTCGGCACTGGCATTTTTGGGGTTGCCACCGGACTCCAGCATGAATGCGTCTCAGCTGACCCAATGTCAGGGTGCATTTTCCCTTGTTGTCTTCTCCTTTCGGAGATATAGTATAACTACTGAGCTTGGAGAGCAACTTCGATTAATTATCCTATAACGTTTTACTTGGGCTCTATATCACTACGCCTAAAAAAGAGCTTCTCATGCGGGCAGCCGGACTAGAGGCTTCCAGACCTTGAATCATCGGCTGAGGCCAGCTGGAGGACACTTGGGCCCCACTGTAGGAGTGGAACCTCTAATCAATGTAGACTCCTGGCTCAAAAAAAACGCACAATAAAGAGGATTTGCAATCCAAAGGCAATGTTTTTTTTTTGTGTGTGTTTGGCTGAGGACATCAATGCAGTGTACAAGAAGATGGCACTGGAGCTACATCCGGACAAAGGGGGCGACCCTGAGAAGTTCCAAGAGTTGCAGGAGATGAAGGACGTTATACGCCCAGTCCGCGCGTGAGCGGACTGGCCGATGTGTTCGGGGTCGATCAGATGTGAGGAGAGTGGAAAGAGACCAGAAGGTTTTTTATAGTCAAGATTCTACATATTTCTACATGTTTATATAACTAATTCTATTTATATAGTATTTATGTAGTTCAAACTGTCCACAGCAGCGATGAATGACATGCGTGTGATGTTCGTGTCTTTCACCTCTCGCGGTGACTGACCAACGACAGGAGCGGCTCACAGAGATCGAGAAAGAAGAAGAAAATCCTGACGCTTCGACGAGTGAAGGGACCAGGTGATGAAGGGGCCAGACCGAGTGAAGGGTCCAAGCATTCGCACTCCAAGAAGGTGATGTAACGCAGGAATGGGCCCCATTGGAGCTATGGGGAGTACAGTAGGTTGATGATGTAAAAGCAACTGCCTGAAAAGTGTAATGTATTTGGAATTGAGGTGCCAGGTAGGAGACGGGCCAGAAACTAAGGATGGAAAGAAAGAGAACGAAGACGATCCAGAAGAAGAGGAGCGAGTTCTTAACGCTCTAATTCCTATTCTGTGAGCATGTTCTTTAAAGCCTGCATGAGCCAGCATGGAATGAGATGGTTTGCATGCACCACACCACGGCAACAGAGCTACCAGTAGCCTCCTTCCTTAGTTGAACTTTGCGTAGCAGGAGGCGAAGAAGCAGAAAGAGAAGGAAGAAGAGGAAGAGAAGAACCGCGGCCTGGCAGCACTTTTCCTCCACCCTTACAGCCTGTGTATATTGGTAGAGTTGGTCTTTGGGCTTAAGGGCTGGCACTTGGGGTTGCAAGACTCTTGCCTGAGGCTTGCCCCCCCCAACGAGCGAGTGAAGAAGCTTCGCATGGAGGTACATGACAACACAGTGCGCCTGTGGGAAAAGGCCAAGAAGTCCAGAGATGAGATCGTGGGTGAAAAGGCCTTGATGCTTGGTTGCACCTTTGCACATGCTTGATGTTCGTTTTTTGCTTGAGCCTGTGCCCACCTAATGTTACTAGCATCCCAGATTCCTAGCAACCCCGCTCAAAACAACCTCAATCGGATTCAATCCGTTCATCCACTGGTCCATCTCAATTCTTGCCGCCGCACCGGTTGGAGCACAGCGGAGGAAGACCAACGCACAGCCGGCTCTCAACATCCTGCGGCTCTTCGTCGACCGCTTCGTGGCCAGCGAGATCAAGACGCTGCGCCACTGGGATTGTTGAGCAGATTGGTGGGAGTTGGTGCGAGAATGTCCCATTTGTTTAAACAGGTGGTGCCGATATTGGATTCGGCTTAAACAGGCCAAAGGCCTGTTTTCAATGGGTGTTCAGAGATTCCGATCGTTTGTGTGCTTCAGTGTTTCCTTGCATCTTACACTCACCTCGCAACACCGGCCCCCCTTTATAATGCTTTAAATTGGCACTTAAGTGCATTTCACCAACACCGCCACTGTGTGTACCAAGGCCATGATGACACTCGAGGGGCCGAGGCCAAGTTGAGGAAGTTTCTCAAGCAGGGCGCCGAGATCTTGTGCGTCGCGGCATTGGCTGACGTCCAGGCAGGATGCATGGGTGAGTGATAGCAGCAGGAGGAGGAGTAATATTATTGATAAGACGGAAACTGGCACGACCTGGAACCACCAAAACACTTCAATCATGGTACCTTTTCCCATGGTGTGCCGAGAAGGTGCCAGACTGCCAGACTGCCACTCCTTCGTGCTCAGATCCTTTGTTGAAGCGAGAGTTAGGTGTTGATGCGCGCCTGCGCAGACTTGAATTCAAAGGTCAATGTTCATCAACTGCCACGTTTCCGGGTGGATGGGAGCCTCCCCCTCCATGACGGCGCATGAGAATCGAACGCAACACAAACGCAAACAATGACTATTATATAATTACTGGTTTTGTGGCAAGTTGCAAGTTGATCCTGGAAGACTTATTTGCTTTTATGACCTTTATGAGCGTTCCAGCAACAAAGCCAGGGTGGACCTGGCCAGGGGGTCAAGAGATCTCATTGGCATCGGTTGTCGCTGAGTCGGGATATGGCTACTGAGGCCACGCTCTCCACATTGGCCATGCACTTCAACTACCGCCTCATCGCACGGAGTGGCTCCCCAGAGCCTTGGGCGGGCTAAAAATCTGGGAGGACCACGTTCGCCCACAAATCAGCGACTAAAAGGCCCCAAGTGGGGCGATTCTCCGATGGTGTTGTTCTTTCAGATGGTGATAAAACTGCATGCCGTGAGTGCCAGGTGAAAGTCATTGTTCACGCTTGAACTTTCAAGTCAAGTGGGGGGGGACGTTTGTTAGAGTGTACGCACCATTGATGCAAAGCGTGTAGTTCTCAGTCCTTAGAATCTACACTGATTTGTCAGGCCCCCAAGCCCTTTCCACCCTTTCCCAACCAATTTCGACTTTCTCACTGGAACTATCTCGAACTGGATTCAATGTATGCCCTTCAACACAAACCCAAACCATGAGCAAGGGCCAAACCCTTGGATTTGGGGTTTGGGTCACGTTTTGCTTGAGTGAGGACGATGCCGTTGGATTTGGGGTTTGGATCAAGATGTAAACCCCTCCACAAATCCAAGGGTATGGCCAAAACTCGATCAAAAAGGGCGTACATCCTGATCCAAACCCCAAACCCAAGGGTATGAATATCAATCAACCAAAAAGGGTTTAATCAAAACTAAACCCCAAATACAGCTCCGTAGACCGACAACATTAATTAGAAAGGGTTTATTTGCACAGATTAATACATTACTGTATATACACACCTTGCCGATCCCTCCTTTAACATATTTATTTGTGGATGCGTTTTGACGCATAGATTCTTCCTTTGCCCGCTGCGTCAGCTGGCCGACGGCCGTGCCGGGGAAGGGAGGCAATGCCTGGGCCGGGCCAGTCCTCGGGGGGCCGGGGGTCAACGGTAGACCTGCAAAGCCGTTGATGAGACTCCAACTGTTTGCAGCAAACCTCCAGGGGGGCTGCACCACCTGAGGAGATCAAGAACCGCTGTGCGGCGCTCCTGGAGGCCGTCGGTGAGGTGCCGCGGAACGTGGAGAGCTTCCTGCAACAGATGGAGGCCGATTTGGCAGATCAGAAGGACTGGGGAGAACATGGGGGAATAGTTTGGAACCATAAGATGGAAGGGATTGTTTCAAGGGTATGGGATGAAGAGATGGAACGGATGTGGTTTTTCTTGGGTCTGGGTTGGAAACAGCAGGTGTGCATGCAAAGAAAGAGAGAGACATGGTTGCAGTATGGAGATGAAATTGCATGAGTCTGTCCAGGTAGCTTTGTTAGGATGATTTGAGTGGAGCTCAGGGAGGCCAGGAACTTGCAACGCCAATTTCAAGTTTAATGGGGGTCTCCGACATGAATTGCACATGTTTGTTCGATGAATGGGATAGTGTGGTTGAATAGGTGATTTGTGGAAGCCTTTTGTGGCGCTCGTGACTGCTGGTGATTTTCCAGTTTTTATCATATCTAGATCTGGTCGATGCTCCCACGACAACTCGGCCGCCTGAGCGAGTCAGGGCTTCACCTGGATATACTCTTAGTTTCCAGCTAACACATGGATCCCCCAAACCCACTCAACAGGGAACCTCCATGTTCTTCTCCACCGACTGTGCGAAATGCAAAATGGCTTAGCGGGAATCCAGTATATGTTCGCTTGGGACCCACCTCAGAAGTCTTCCATTGTTGATGGGACGAATTTGTTGAAACCTCCATGCAAGAAACGAGAAAGACACACCTCACTGCCCCGACTCCCGGTTGTTTTTTTTCTCGCTTTTCCGAAAACAGTAAGTTACTGTATAGTTCAATAGTTCTGATTCTTTAATCAACACCCTCCAACAAGTCTCCCATTTTCTTTCATGTTCTTTCTGACCAACCGTCCTGGTGACGTCCCGCCCCCAGGAGCGCGACCTGCGCCGCAAGGAGGAGCGCGCCGCCGCCCAGCGGCGCCGCGAGGCGCGCGGCGACTTCGGCGGCGATGCCGGGGAGACAACGGGAGCAGCGGCGCCGAAGGCGGAAGCGAAGGCAAAGGCCGGAGGGCGAGGGAGGTGATAGGGAGGATTTTGTTGTTCTAAGAGTCTAAGACTTGAGGTGATGTGATGTTCACCATGGGGTTGTGAGAAAGAAGGGAGATACAAGATGAACGGCGCAGGGTGTAGGCTCGTATAAGCTTTTCCAGGGCGTTGTGGGAACTTGTGAGCTTGGAAGTCTGCAAGTAGTTGGTGTATGAATGTGTATGATCATTTGCAAGTAGATGACTGGCAAGTGGATGGAAAGCTCCTACCAGTGACCTGCCCCCCAACCATTGCACTTCACAGGCCAAGGCAGGGCCCAAGCCGGAGCCGAAAGCAGAGAAAGAGAGTGCCAAGGACTGGGATGGAGTGAAAGCCGGTGGCAGGTTGAAGGTTTTTCTTAAAAGCCGCTGGTGCTGGGGCTTATCCTTTGGATGTCTTGGATGTGGTGGGTTATCTTTTTTTGTGTTTAAAGCGAAAGCCTTTCTGTTGATGGAAGACCGGCTGACACCAAGTAAGAGAAGTCCAGAATTCAGAGTGTGATCAAGGCTGGGGGTACTTGACGCCTGCGCCCGCCAACAGATTTTTTTCCTTGCTTGGAGTCACATAATCATCATAATCACACAAGCACCAACCGGCAACCTGGTGCAGAAGGATAGCTGCGAGCGGAGTTATGAATCGGACAAGGAAGCAGAAGCAGAAGGTTTCAACTTATTATATATAGTTATACTGTGACTACCTGCGGCCCACTGACATGGAGCTTGAATATATCCTATGGGAAGATTAGTTCTCTCTACAAACTGGGTGGTTTCTACTTTATATCAATGAATCGGAGTGTGGTGTGGTTAGGTTTAATTTAAGGTTATTTTTGACTTTGCATTTGTATTGATGTCACATCAAGAGTACTTAGATGGCCCAATCTGTTTCAGATAGGATAAGGCTCCAAATGGCAAAACGCGCAACGGTCTTTTAGGAAAAGACAGTAAGGAACCTACTAGCCTTAGCCTACACCCTACTATAGCGATGGCCTCCACCCTACTAGCAGATTCATTTGGTTTCAACCAAGAATTGGCTTTGCGTCCCCAGCCCTCAGCTTTGGCCACGCCGAGTAGGATCCCACAGTGGTCATCCTCACCACGAGAGCATCACCACGAGAGTCTCTTATCGTTGGGCATCCTCGAGAAGTCAGAAGTCAGAGTCGGTGTGTTCCTGGCTTTGGCGGGGGGTAGGGGGAACAACAAAAGGAGGCCATCGCTAGTAGGTCTCGAACTAACTTCCCCGATTTTATGCGGATCACCTGGTCAAGCACCCTGATCTGCGCTTCGACAGGAGACCGCTGCGCCGAAGGCGGCACTTGAAGCACCGGTGTGGTTGTTGCGTTTGAACGGGAATGGATGGTTCTTTCTTTTGGAGCGCTCCAGAATCTGCAACATCCATCAAAAACCTGCCAAAACCTGCCATCAGTAGATTGCGATGTTAAGAACATGTAGGACTTGGGGAGGCTCCCTGAAGTCTCAAGCTGCAGACGGCACGCTCAAGCTTAAAGCAGATTCAGGACAGCTGCATGGCCGCCATGGCGGCGTCCGCGATCATGAAGAACAGCAAGGCCTTGCAGTTCGACGTTCGCCTTCACGGTGATCCAGCCAAGCCCTGCGTGATTTCCATCGTGGGCACGGGTGCTTCAATGAACATGATGATGCCCATTGTCGAAGGCCTGGTGGCACGTGACCTGTTTGTTATCAACTATAACCCGCGTGATGTGTGCGGTACCGAGGTCTTTAAGCAGATGGAGGCAATGGTTCCTGAAGACAAGAATCTGATGGAGGAAATGGGAAAAGTCTTTTCGGCCACTGGAGGCATCAACTTGGACTCAGACTTCTATGCTCCCTACAATTGGTACGATTTAGCTGACGATGTAGCAGCCATCATGGATCACCACAACATAGCCAAAGCGAGTATCATCGGCTTCAGCACCGGAGGTGTCATTGCACAAGTCACGATGTGTAGGTTGAAGGATCGTCTCAATTCCGCGGTGATTTGCAGCAGCTCATACGAAGTGGTTCCATCACAGGCACCTTTTGAGAATCCAGCACTTCAGGAGGTGATGGCAGCAGCAGCGGCGGTTTCTCCCGAGTCAACCAAGGAAGACAGAGTGAAGGGTTTGTTGCCTTCGTTCATGTCAATGTTCGAGGTTGAGGAGGGAGACCCATGGCAGGCTGTACTGACCAAGGGAATTGAAGATGACCACGAGAAGGGATGGATGGACATTTACGGAGGAATGAATCCCTTCTCAACACTGGCTTGGGCAAGTACTGCAAAGTCACACGACCAGCACCTTTCCATGCTGGAGGAGAACCAAGTCCCCTGCCTTGTTGTTGCTGGCAAGAAGGATCCATTGGTTCCTTACGCACAGAGCGAAATGCTGGCAGCAAAGACGGGCAGAGCAACCTTGGAATCTCATGAGTATGGTCACATTTTAGGTCCTGCTTCCAGCAGAGCTGCCCTTCTTGACACAATTGCAGACTTCATTAAGGCTCATTCCAGTTGATGATCAAGACGATCACATCACTGGATGGGATTTTCCGAAAGCTGCTTCTTTTGCCAATCCGGGCCTGCCTGGTCCAAGTGTTTGTGTCTCACATCCACCTCGACTATCAGAGGCTGGAAGATTCACGCATGACTCCTACACAGAAAGTCCATCGCAAGTCTCCATCCAAGGAAGTGCGATGCAAAGTGCTTGTCATCTCGAGCTTGGTGCAAAGTTTCCACAGCCGCTGTGTCTGTGTTATAGCGCTGATGCTTTGTCTCCCTATCACTCATGGAAGTGGAAAACCACCCCCCTGTTTGGTATGAGGATTTCATTGTCTTCCGGTACCAATTTTCATCCACATCAGTTCCAGGGAGTCTATGCCTTGCCTTCGTTCCTTCCGCTTCCAGCGGCACGCAGGCCGGGTACCCGGACCCCTTCGCGGACTTTGACTTCGACACCAAGCCGAAGGAGCCGAAGGCTGCTGCCAAAGCTACGTCCAAGGCTGCAGAGACTTCGGCCTTGGCCAAGAAGGCCCAGGGTCGCGGTGAGAACAGTTTTTGTACTGATCGGATGTACATACCAACGGATATGAATAGACTGATCATACTTAATGTATATCTAGAAGAGTGAATTGATGTGATTTCGGTATTTCTGTTTGTTCATGTGCTTCTTTGGGGTGGTCAACAATCTTATGAGAGTCAGCTGGCTGCTGGTTCCACTGTGGTGCTGGCAATTTACATCAGTTGATGTGAGAACCACAAGTCGCCATGGCGACATGGGGGCCCCCCCGCTTCAGGTGGCCAGGTTCTCAGTGGTGGGCAGGTTCTGCAAAACAAAGCTCGACTGCCACCTTTTCAGCTCGGGGGAGACAGACGGATTGATGTGACGTTCAGCTCATCACAGTCAGGCCAGTAGTGAGGCCATTTGTGTGGGACTGCAGCTTTTGACACCCCCAAAAGTGGCCACTCCAGGAAGAGGAGAAGTCCACCATCCAAGCAGCAGTGAAACAGAAGAGAACCTGCTGGGATGCAGCTTTTGATCATCCCTATGCCGGAGCCTTGAAATCCAATGGCACTGGAATCTATTGTCGGCCTTGTCAGAGATGGATCGTGACCTATGAGCACCTTGGAATAAATTAGGAAACTTGTTGGTTGACTGGTTTGACTGATTGGTTGATTGATTGATGCTTGATTGGTTGCTGAGGAATTTTAGCCTAGGGTTGAACATGGTTCTCCGTTCTTCAACATGATGCAGGAGGGATTGACCGATTGACCGAGAGAAGAAGGCCGGCCTTGGCACAAGCCAGGCAGATCAGGTATAGTTTCTTGTTACTAGTAGTGAGAATGCTCCTAGTAGCGATGCCAGGAGCCCCTAGTATCGTCCTCACTCCTAGTATATAGTAAGGCCAGGAGCGTGTAGTAGCTTCTTGTTACTAGTTCATTCCAGCCCTTGCTGAGGTTCAACACCGAAGTCTTCCTGACGCATGTGGAGAGAGTCCATCCGAAACCGCCTCCGGGTTGGTCCACGTGAGCCTGCATAAGCCAAGCCCAAAAGGGGACGCCGGTCCTGAGAGGGAGAGATTCATGATGATTCATCGCCAGTTTGTGAGAGGGCCAGATGCTTGGTGACATGTCACTGAACTTAAATTTTATGATCTTAAAGAAGATTCACTACTATGAGACAAAATGCTTGGTTCGGGATTGAACTCATCCTTGAGAGCTACACTTCATATTGAAGGGGTCCATGACGCGTTGGATACGCTTGTGCCTTCTTGCCCCTTCTAAACCCATATACAAAGACCGCATTTGTTCGGATATAGTGTCAGTCGATGGTGTACATGCCGTGTCGCATGTAGACTTCCACATGGCAGAGTCTCGACATGGTTCTTACACTTGCTCTTTTCCCCGCAGGCAGCGTCGTACGGCAAAGGCGCTGGGAAGGCAGGCCGTGCGAAGACGTTCGATTCAACACCACTGCAGGGCAGACAGGAAACAGTCTAGAGTCTAAAGAGTCTAGAGTCTGTGGACGTTAATGTTGATGCCAGCCTTTAAGTTGAGCCCATTTGATTGCCGGTACTTGAATTTATGGGGGGTTGCAGCGAGGGCATTGAACAACTGGTTGCCCGTGCCCCGCCCTATGGAGTCCGTAGAGTCTGTTGTGTACTCAAGCACTCGGGAGCCTAGGAGTCGACCATTTGGGTGTTGGTTTGGAGCCGTTTCCTGCCTCAATCCCAGCCCCAAGATCCAGCCAAACACATTTTTGCACCAGTCTAAAGACTGTTCTTTGTCCTGAGCACCCAAGAAGCCCCTTGTGGGCAGCATTCACAAACATGTTGTTCATGATTTCCGATTCAGAAGTCTCAGGAGTTTCGAATCTGTAGATTGAATATGGTCGGTAAATCATGTAAGCACCTTAAACATCAATAGAACACTGATTGGTCATGTTTTTGTTAATGTATATTTTTCGGATTGGTTCATGTACTATACTCCAGGATGCTTGTATATGCTTGTAAATGCTTACCCACGCTGTTGGTCCACCGAAACGCAGGACAGGGGCTACAAGGCCTGGCCCGCTGTGGGCTCCGTCACTCGGGTCACTCGGGTCCGATTTCGGAATCAGCACATTATCCTTTCAGAATGGTCATGTTGTCCATGACTCGATGTTCATGATGTCTAAGGAATCCTGCACACCAACCTGAAACCGAAACAAGCAAACACTGCAATGGGAACGCCCAATCTCTTTTGGTGGTTTTCTGAATTCTTTTGAAGGTAGGAGGGCGCAGCGAACCTTGGATGATGTTCGTGCCTATCATGCTCTGAAGGTGGTCTTGGGACCCAAGTGCGAAGGAAGCACACAAGCTGCAGAGCGATTTTCTTTTGGAGTTGCTGTTGAGGCCTTTAGAGGGGTGCATCTCACAAGCAGCTTCGTCGGATGTTGCCTGCATCATGGGTGACCAACCCTGCAAACTTCCGCCCAAAAGAACCCCAAATTAGCAGCTAGCTGCGTGGTTATGGAACATGTTCCAAAGTATCCCTATCAGCCTATGAGGTGCTTTCTTGGCAGTTAGCATCCCCTTCAGCTTGGCTCAAAACGTCGGGCCACAATGAAGGCGCCGCGTCCTGTTCCGCGGGTGCTGGCTCTCCTGAGCCTCGCGTGGTTGGCACCGTGCGCTCATGGGGAGGCGCCGTTGCCCAAGGTGCCCAAGGCCGGAGACGAATTCGCTTTTGGAAGGCTGAAGGTATGAAGACATTAGGTATCATTAGGTCATTAGGTTGACTTAGTGACTATAATAAGCAGTAATAAGCTTTGTTGTTCCTGATGTCCGAATTCCGAGCGTGGCGTTGTTCTACACTTGCACGCTGTATTCAGAGCTTTTAAATGTATCCAAGTGTTCGAAAGACTTTTCTAAGTGATTCTGTGTTTTGCTTGTGGTGTGTCATGTTCTCATGACGGTCACATCAAGCATGCCACAGGTCTTGCCTCGATGAGTCTTGCGTCGATGCGTCGATCTCACCTCTGAGTCGTCTAAGTCTAAGTCATGTGAAACAATACACTCCCCTGAATAATCATGAAAGTGGACAAAAGGACGACTGAAAAGACCCTTTTCTCTACAAACGGTGTTCCACTTCCATGTTAGTTCCCCCGAAGTGTGCATAGAGAGACGAGCCCCGCCCCCATGCAGTTCCAGGTCTTCAATGCGGGACCAGATGGCTTGCCACAGCTGCCCACCCACGTCCTGGAGGAGTTTGAGGATGTGACACTCGGATGTTGATCCTGGTTTGTGCTCCCCAAAAAAAGCACCTCCAGAACCAGAAGTGGAAGCCTCCGTCATAGGGATGATCAAACATGATTTAAAGACATTGTGATGCTTTGGCAGTTTCAGAGTTGTGACGTGAGTTTGTTGAAGGATGTTGAGATTGTTGAGGTTGTATTTGTATTTTTTCTTCATGGCTTCATGGGGATACCCGTTCTATATTCTTGATGCACCCGGGAACTTATGCCCAACCCCTACAAGGTGCAAAGGACTTAGTGTGTTTTCAAGAGTTAAACTCATCGTCTCGCTGCCTCCCCGCTCCCCGCTGTTCCGGCCGGCTCAGGAAGGACCACCTGAACACACGTGCGAGCAGCTTTGAAGATCATCTCTCGCAGTTGGAGCATGCCAGTTTGGAGCGTGTGTCCCAGCAGAGACAGGTCTACGATGCCAAGCTGCGAGAACAGGAGAAGGAGAATCAGGTCGGCTGGGCGGTTTTGAAGCGTACTAACACTGTGACACTATAAAGCTTAGGTCAAGAAACATTTACAGGAGGTTTGGCTGCCGGTTGGAATTTCATGTGCGCAGCCTTCATGCAATGGGAACACCGAACGTGCTTGGGCTCTGCGGGTTCGCTCACCCTGAGGTGCTGGTGAAGCGCAACGCCGTCCTGGCCAAGGAGATCATCGCAGCACGGCAGCAGAACGCAGAATTGAAGAAGGAGGTGGCACACCAGGCACCTTGGAGGGCCGACTTGTGACTCCAGCATGGGAAGACTCGAAGTTCCTTTGATTCCTGATACTTCTTAATTGCTTTTTGCTGCCCTTTTGAGAGATGGTCGCTTGAAGCACCCTCGAAAGGTTTACTGGTTGTTCTGACCATGCGTTTGGGGGAAGAAAAGCTGCTACGATTTGGTAGATGTCCTTGAGACACAAAAATGGGCCTGCCAATGGAGGGCTCTGGCAACCTGAAGGCTACAGAAATTTGTTCCCACAAGGAGTTCTCCAGGATTTGACCTTCCTGCCCTTTGAGGTGGGAATGCGTGACCTGTGGGAGGGTTCTTCCAGGTGCGAGGTCACCTGGCGAAGCGAAATTCCGCTCCCTGGTCAGGAGAAGCTGGTGTCCTTCCGGAAGAGTGAGCTCCGAGCATTGGAGCAGCAGCTGGCGGAGGGGGAGATGCTCGGAAGGGATTATGTGAGGTGTGCCTGTGTGCCTTGAGACTGAGGGGGGGTGGCTGTCTTCCAGGCAGTAAAGGTTGAATCACACAAGGTGATATATTGCTACAAAGGTTGAATCACACAAGGTTGTATTATGATGCTATATGAATCAACAGGAACCACACCTCGCGCCCTCATGACGCTTGAGCCAAGCCTCAACAAAAAGCACCTCCGAAAGAGAGAAGGACAACCCATTTTGGGGACGGGGTGGGGGCAATTTCTGATGGAGTCGTTCTTCATACATGTTTGGCTGCTGTATGTCATACATAGCAGCCAACGCCCAGACCGAAAGAATCCATTCATCCGAGTCATCCGACCACAAGTCGCTCCCAGGAAGTTCCTCCAGCAAAGCATGGGCGAGGAGCCAGAGGGGGAGGGGGAAAAAGAAGAGGAGCCGGAGGCGGTCTCTTTCATGGAGGTCTCGCGAGTCCATCACAAAGACGCCTGGCAAAACGTTTGAGTTTGGATGAGAAGCTGCGAAGGGGGAGGTGGTGCCGAAGGGGCCAAGGGGTTTTCAAGAGCTGGGAGTTGCTGATAGATGCTTTCAAGGCTGTGAAGATGTTTGAAGTCCACACTCTCCAGACTTGGCCATCCTCTCCAGCCGAACAGCGGCGAACGCGCCCGGCCCAACGGGGCTACACGAGGCTCCGGGGACTGAGAGGTATATCCCTATGGATCCACATACCTTCTGAGAAGGCTTGGAGGGCCCAAATATATACCTTTTGGGAAGGTATGTGGATCCATACATAGTAGGGTCTTAAACACAGATGTGGCTCATCTACGGGTGGGATGTCGTGTTGGGCAAGGTGCTTATCAACACTCAGTGGGGGGGCCACGGAGAGGACCGGCCTCATGACCCACAAACAAGTCAAGACTCTTGAGGTGATAGTCACTTCATCGCCGTTTTCCTGTGTGCTAGCTGCTAGTGCCTTTTCTTGAGGTTTAGCAAGTTGGACAGCGTGCATCGCGTTGCCGCGTGGCTTTGGTTTGTGTTTTACTGGTGCCAAGGAAGCCAAGAAGTCCCTGCGTCATGGACATCGGCATGCCAACAAAGAGCAGGAGGAGTCAGAGGAAACGAATCTCACGCAGGTGGAGAGTGAGGATGCTCAGGAGTGCTTGAACTTGCTTTGCAAGCGTTTGGCCCTTTCTGTGTAGTTGAAACATGTTGAAACTCCACACGCTCACCTTGCCTTGATGGGAGCATGCAGGTAGAAGTCATTGCCATTTTCTCTCACGGTTGTTTGATGGTTCCATCGTGGGACCTACAGTGCTTACACGTGCTTACGACAATGACCAGTATCCAGAAATTCGCTTTTTGTTGCCCGTACCTGGGAGGTCAATTTGTTTTACATAGTAAATAAACAGAACAACGGCAACGCCCCACGTTTTTCACCCCAGAAGTAGGGGTCCGCGCAACTTGTGGACTCCAGGATGAAGCACCCAAAGGGGACGAGATGATCGACCTATTGGCCAAAGATTTGCGACACTTGCACAAGGCCAGGGTGGGAAGACAGTTTTTTTTGGGGGGTCTCCGAGGGCATCAGACCACCCAAGGCCATTCAAGTGAAATGGGTATCTTGCATAAATGTTTACACTCCTTGAAAGAATCATGGAAGTGGAGTTCACCACCCCCCTGTTTTGTATTTAGATGTCATGGTAATCCAACGGGCCATGCCATTTTCATCAATTTTCAATGATTCTTCCAAGAGAGATGTGTATATATAATGTTTCACGTATATGATTTCCTCAAGACTGAGGCGATATGAGGCCATCCAGTTGTTGCATGTCAACTGCTCAGGCAGTTCAGATCTTAAAGGCACTTTGTTCAGATCACTGTGACGTGTTTCATCTCACAACAACCAGCGTTTCATGTGAATGTGTTCGATGTACTCAGCTTAATTCATCACTCCTGCCGCACGGGTGTTTGAATTTCATCCCAAACCTGGGATGTTACTCAATGGAAATTGCATCAACTGCCGGAAACGGACTACCTGACTACCTCAACTCAACTAGCTTCGATCCCTTTTCTGAACTCAAGTCCGTTGCTTCAACTCAACTTCTCACGGCTCGGAGCTCTTCCAGCCACGCCGGTAGGCCGAGATGAAGAGCAAGATCTCCTTGAAGAAGATGTTCCTGAAGAGCTTCGAGGCGCTCCGCGAGACAACGAGAAAAACTGGGTCGGCGGGAAAAGCGCGGCGCAGGGGTCGGCGGGGTGGAGGAGGGTCGATTCTTCCCAATGGCAAGCAAGCCTCGATCTGGTGCCCTGACTTCCAAGATTCCAAAAGCATCGTCACTCCGCAAACATTCATGATCTTTCATATCCATGGAACAGAGGAAAGCAAAACAAAAATGAACCATTCACATCATGGTGTAACTGTTGGTCAGTTAAAAGATCGTATGGCCGGCCTTGCGACGGTTGGAATGACAAGTGTGCAATTTTGTGACGGTTGGAAGCACAAATGGCTGTCCCTCATCCATCAATGTAAGTTAAAAGGCTTACGGCTTATACATATGTGGCACAGTGGCTAGTGTTGATTTGGCTGATTTCTTGTGACTTTCTGGTTCGGTCATCATGTTCGATCAATTCTCACCCTCTTCAACCACCGATTGGCACCGCCTGAGCCCCCCAACTGAGGTGGGGCGCACACGTCGGGCGGCTTTGCTGAAGCAGGAGAGTGTGCTGAAGGCAGAGTTGCAGCAGACCAAGGCGCAAGTGACGGACCAGAGACCATGTCGCGTAGGGTAATCCAAGCTGAGGGGATCCCTCTATTGGATGAGTGCCTGTGGGTGTTGGCTATGGATCTATGGGGACTGTTGCGGGCCCCCCCAAAGCCCAAAGCTCTATGTTTCCTGGTTAAGGCTAACAGACCATGTATGGAATATATTGTGCCTAGTATTGTGCGTGAAACCGCCCCAGCGTCCAGCTACTCCACTCATTTGCCCTTTTGATATACCTTTGGGCTTGTGTCCTGGTCGTGTTGATCGACCGGTCCGTAGGGAGGCGTCGTGTTGGCGGCGTGAGCCGAGAGCGATTCGTGGTACGGTACAACGATCGAAGCCGAAGTCGCGGCCGATAGGCTTCACAATTCAAAGCACATGCACTGCCCCTATGAAGGCCATACATGATGTGTGGCAAGTAAATGTTTTTTTTTGTTAGCAGATTCCGCGTGTTATGTTGTGTGTGTGTGTTCTGTTTGTGAAAATTCTTCCAAATTCAGGATCCAAGTTGGAACTAGCTTCACACCTGGAACTTGGATGATCTGTATGGCACACCTCTTGTTTCCTTGAAAAATAGGTGTTCTAAGGTGAAACGCTCTCCGGATGGCACATGATTGACAGTGCCGGTCCCTTAACGGTCGGGACTTGGATCGTGACGAGTTCTTCCGGCTCCTTCGAACGGTTCCCCGCATGGATAAGGAATGCAAGAGACTGTCACCATCAATATATGGCAGAGCTGATACTGTCCAAATCTCACTGCAACGTGAAAGAAGTCTCAAAATCACGACCACGACATCCACTTCAAGATCTCAGCTGCCCTTTGTGAAGTGTGGCCCATGAAATCACGCGTAAGAATTCCTGCACCATGTCACCATGCGCTAGCTCCTGCCATCACAGCTGCTTACAGGTTGCATGAGTTTCTTGGTGCATTTTTTGGGGGGGCCATTTTCAGGCGACCCGGGTTGCTAGGTGTTGGCTGAGCAACTGGAATCCAAGTCGAAGAAATTGGGCATGACCGTGGAGACCCTGGAATCCAAGCTCAAGCATCTTGGACCAGCATGCAATGTCTGGGCTTGGTGTGGTGTCGCAGTGTCGCACCTCTGCTTCGAGGTGGGGAGACGCTTCTGGGTGGGGGCAGATTCATGTAATGGACCCCGTGTTGTTCATTTGGGAAAGTATAGAACAGCTAAACAAACGCAGACTCGCACACCCATTGGCCCATTGGATTGGTCGTGGGCCCATTAGTGTAGGCATGACTAGCCAACTGTTTCTTCAACAAGCACAGAAACCCGAACCCGTAGGGAGAAGGACTAAAGCAGGGATTGGTGTTGAGTTCAAGCTCCCAACCGTAATGTTTTTCGCTCATCGCGTCCATTTCTGGCCACGCCGTGCTTTACAACCAATTGGCACCGCAGACACCGCGCGTTGTTGAGGAAAGGCGCGAACTTCTTGGGACAGTTGCAGAAGGTGGCGGCCGCTCCCCCCAAGGACTCTCCACGATTCAGAGATTCCTAGCTGGCGCCATTCCGGACTTTGGACGAACCACCCTCCCTCCAACAAACATGGAAGTGGAAAACAACCTCCACCTCCATGAACAGGGTAGGTGATGATCCTGAACAGATGAACCCTCAGATCTTTGAGATGGTGGCACTGGATGTCACCGTGTTTTTTTCCTGGGAATATCTCTCAGAGACTCTCAGCATTTGGACCTGCTTGAACCCTTTATGCTTATTTTTTTACCAGGCTGGTGAATCCAAACAGAAAGCACCTCTGCGATGTGACGATCTTTGGCGCATGCAAGAGTCAAAGAGTCAGTTACCAGGCTTAAAGACTCTGCAGCCACATGTTGCCGTGCCAAGATTCGGGCGGCTCGTCCAGGAGGTGCAGTCCCTGCTGAAGGAGATCCAGCCGTTGTGAGATTGAACGCCGGATCCGACGGCTGTGGCAAAAAGGGGCCGTTGTGAGCTCGGATCTTGGACAGGACACGGGTGCATCTGAAAGGTAGGCATCAAGCAAGAAGAAAATTGATGGATAGCAAGTTAAATGAAGGGCATATTGGACTGGAGCTCTCTCATTTGAGAGCGGCTAGGGTTAGCTCTCGACCCCATCGCGGGGTTCGGAGTGCATTCCCAACTCCATAACATACCCTCAGACTTCACCAGTAGTATGATTATGGATTTCAATGATGCTCCTTTCATTTGTTCGATCGCACAGATATTGCGCCACTCATGTTTTTCATGACTTCTTCCTATTTGTTCCTTCCTAGGGGAGGTGGGTGGGCCCTTCAAAAAACAAGGAACAAACGGTGTAGTACAGGTGAATGAAAGCAGCTATATAAGTATCCAAATCATGTGGTAGCCAAGGTTTGGCCTTGAGGAACACTGTCACTGCCGTCCAACTGCCTAGCCATGCTTTGCCATCCCCTGTCTTGCCAGGGCGAGCGAGAGGAGAGGGGCAAAGGAGTGGGTTGCCGGGGAAACTTGGGAGTCTCCAGCTTTGAGAGGGTTTTTTAGGGTGTGAGGATGGTGTGAGGTGACTCAACCGCCAAGATCGACATGGAAGGTTCTTAAACTCACAGGCTTCATCAGGTTTGTATAAGCGTAATTATGTAACATATATTTTTTGATTGTAAGTAAATCATGATGATCAAGTCATGTCAACAGTAAAAGAACACCGACACCTTTGACGAAGATGACCGCCTTTGACTCCATGCCTTGGGTGGCTTCAACGGCACGCTCGTTTTGTTTGCAGGAAAGTCAGGGAAAGGCTCCAAGAACGGCAAGGCACGGATGAGGGCCTGCCAAGTCAACGTCCACCAGGAGTAATGCTGCTTTCCTCTTTGTTGTTCCATAGCCCATGGCTGTGCACTTGGCATCCAGCAGGGAAATTCTGGTAACCCCATGCGCCTCCCAACTCACACGTCTCAGAAAAAGCAGGATCAATGCAAAGAACAAGCAATGTACCGAGTGGAACATCCGTTGGAGTCCCCTCTTCGTCTCCTTTTTGTTCAGGGGCCGGTGCCGATCCCGCCACCCTTGGACGAACCGGAGGAGCAGGGCAGGGGCGGTTGGGTGGAGATGGGAAGAGCCGGTGGAGATCCCGGTCGTTTGTCCGTTTCTGCTTGAGATGATCCTTTAAGCCAGCAGTCAGGTGGGAGTACCAGCTGGGAGGTTTGTACTACTCAAGTTGCAAGAGCAGAATGCAGTCCGCTACAGCTTCGGCGTAAGAGCATCCTGACATAATGTGACAAGATGTTGGGCAAGATGTCACATCTTGGAAATCATCACCGGTGCGGCATAGGCCTTGTGTGTGGCATGCCCAAGGTTTGATTGGCCAAAACAACGCACATGTGATTCATTGGTGTTCTGTGTTCTACCGCAGCCTTACTCAGCTTCCACCCGCGATGCGGGGCGCGAGAAAAGCGCTGCCCTCGCTCGCGGAACGTGCCCACTGCGTTAGGGCTTGACGAAGTGGCTTGGACACGAGAGCAGCTTCTGAAACCGCATCCAAGAGAATATGAAGAAAGTCGTGTTTTTGTTTACACGGTTTAGAGTCATAGAGGCACCACACATGTTACTTACTGCCAAGATTGGGCACATTGAACTTTCCATTGCAAGAGTCGTTTCCACGCCAGCATCCAACTCTTCTGAGCTTACTTTGTTGGGATCTCGATGGGACCCTTCAAGAACGGGACCCCACCCAGGGTGGCTCTTTTGAAGATCTGGTGCTAAGGCTAAGGGTTCATGGAGCAATAGTGGTGTCAAAATCCATGAATTACAAAGTTATAGACGATTGTTTACCAAGTGATGTCTCAAATGGACGGACCCATGTACGGACCCTGGGTTTCGAAACCGTCGTTCTTGATCCAGAGACACGAAGCGAGACAGAGACAGGAAAAACCGGATGCAGTTTGAGGCGCATGCGCATATTGGTGGCATGGGACGGCAGTGAGTGCTTTGGCCGGTGGATGGTGTGCGGAGTCCGGCGCCGTACGGGAAGTGGGTGATGCTCGACATGTACTGAGTGCCAGGCGCACTCGGGGGACTGGATGTCCATGTGCTGAAACCCCAATGACTGGCGTGGTGTTGGGAGGTGTCCAATCTCTACTCGTTCCAACCTGGAGTCCTTGACCGCTTCAATGTCTTTCAATCGGTTTCATCCATCATCCAGAGTCTTTCTGACTGGAGAAGAACCACCCACCCGGGCCGGGTAGCTTTGGATGAAATCCCCACTCAACGGTAAGACCATCTAGTAACTAGTACCAACTCCAAGATGATCCTACTCAGCAGTTCGGCAGGATGCCGGGTAGACCACCCAACTCCATGGAACTTGTGGACCGCAGTCCCTTCTTCCTTGATTTCAACCTGTACTTGGGATGATTTGAACCAACCCACCGACTCAGACGAACGTGGACCAGCGAGTTGAACGTCGCCCCACGCCCAGTCGTGGTCGCCCCAAGGCTCAGCACCTTGGCCCTTCGCTGCACCATCCGCGTGCTCTCGCGGCCGGGCGACCAGCTGCCACTTGGAAGCCCGGTGGTTTTGAAGAGATCTTACTGTACATTGCACACCACAGACAAGGGGAAAAAGAACAATGAAAAAACACTAGACTATACTGTAAATTGCACCACTGTCTCTACTCAAGGCGCGACAGATTTTGTTGCCGGCACCTGCGCAGCCTCCAGACATTTCAGCACTTCTCCGGGGTGGCAGAGGTGAGAGCCCCCAGCAAATTGAATCTATGCAGATCCTTTATATTGGGGATATTATATGATGTATACAGAAGTTTCAAAAGTTTCCAGAAGGTTTTCATTTGGACTGCCACTATCTCAAAGTAGCGGAATGAAGTACACTCTGAGGAACACATCACATGGGAGTTCACCACCATCCGTTTTCTAGAGGATTTCGTCTTCCCAGGGAGGGCCCTGTTCATCAATGTTGCAAATTTTGCATGATTTTGGCAGGGAGTGTGCAACAGATCCTCCTAGATCACCCATGGACCACCCCTTGACCGCGCTGTCCGCACCGAGAAGCGTTCTCTGAGGCTGGTATATCACGTCCGCAATCCTGGGAGGCTCGGCTGGGGAGTGAGGGCGACGATGTGCATGCAACAGCAGGTTCTGCTGGTTGATACTGGTTTAACCAACATGTTTTGTAACTCCAGGCCATCAAGTGTCTATTATTGATTTTCATTCTAGGCATTTGACATTGGGAGTGAGTGTGCTGGAGTGTTCTTTCTGAGGTTCCATCAAAACCAACTTGTGACGCATTAAGGTCAGTTGGTGAGTACTGAAGACTACCAGTATGGAGACACGGCTGACTCACAGTTTTGAGGCATTGTTTCAACATGAGACGGTTGCACAATGTTGCACATATTGTCCCGTGATTACAAAACAAGTACGTTCTCCATTTGTACAGCATAGCTCAGTTCTTTTTGACGCGCTTGCAACGATAATGCGTATAAGACATGAATCAACATGATAAATGCGCCCAAAAGATCCCAGAAGAGCCCAAGACTCTGGACGATGTCGTATACGCCGTTGGTTCTTTTGGCTTCGGACCGTCACGCCGTCCGTTTGAACGCCTTCGCGCGCGCGCAGACCGTCCACCTTAGAGGTATGGAGCATCGGAAGAGTTCGAGGTGGAAAAGCTGGAGTCCAGATTATCCGAGGAGCGCCGGCAAGCATTCGACTTCTGTGAAGGCACTGGGTGTGACGGCGGTTGTGGTGCGTGAATTGTGGGACTTGTCACAATAAATTGCGACTTCTAGTCCCAAACATCTCTTGGCATCACCTGAAAAAATCCCAAAGTCATATATGCCGCAGCTCCGCCTGCACCTCCGCCTTCCATATAGCGGCAGCGAATATATAGCTGCTTAGCTTCGCTTTTCGCAGCTTCTCTCGGCAGCTGGCGCTCGTGCGTCTCGCTCGCAGGAGCTTCGAAATGCACAGGGCCTTCATGTGCTTTCTCAGCGGAAGAGTGGCGAAATGGACGAGGCCGTTCTCTCGGCCGATCTCCGCTTCACCCGCCCCGTTCCGCATCGATCCGGCGTTTCGGTTCGGAAGGAACATGTGAGAGATTTGTGACGCTTGTGTATAGAGATGAGTGAAGAGTGTGATAGTCAACGGAAAGCGCTTTCTACTTTGGGGATGGGCAAAGCCTGTTATCAACTGGGCACTTCTAAGAATGACCACCCTCCTAAGTGATGGTCAGCCTGAGTTCATCTGCAGCCATGCTCAGGCAAAAAGGCTCAATGGCTCGCAGGAAACAGATGCAATGTTTATGAGCATCCCACTGAAGAGGTTGTGCGCCCCAAAGAGTTTTTGATTTCATGTTTTTCACCTTGGGTGTGACGAGCATGAATACACCAAGCTCTAGGACCAAGCTCTCCAAAGCACCTGTAAGGGTGTGGGTAGGAAGACTATGGCAGATGGCAGGCTCAAATCATAAGTGATCATATGTAAAATAGATGATGTAATGCTTGGATTGCATACGCATGTTTGTTTATATCAGTTTACATCTAACATGCGTTCATGTGCTTTTATTGTAATGGTGTTTGCATCCTGGACTGGTTGGTTGGAACATCGTGCGCTGAGCCTTTCTGCCGTCCCTGTGCTTACGGTGGATCACATGGGCTCTGGTGCCAGTGGCGCGGGTGAAAGGGAGCAACTGGGCTGAACCAATTAGGTGACATCCCAGGCGGTCTGTGCATATGAAGCAACATGTCTAAGTGAATGATGTTGCTGGATTTGTTGCATCAAACTGATTCTTGGTCGCACATGAACATGGATTGTTTCCAGTTTGGTTCTATATAAGTCTTGAGCGTCTTCCTGCTGCATGTGTCAATTTCACCCTCACTGAGTCGCATTCAAAGAACTCGCTTGTGATTAAAAGGAATTGAATATGTTACATTGAATTAACAACATCCTTTCCTACTGTGCTTTCATGACTCATGTTTTTGGTTGGGGTCTCATAGCTGTCGAAGGGAGACAGCTTCGTCGAGCCGCTTCGACCGTCTCAGGCGCCAGGTGGAGCAGCTTTTCGATGCCTGCAATTTGGCGAACGCGGACTGCTTGGCTGGCAAGGCGTGCTGAACAGGGCGGAGGGCGAAGGGCTCGAACTGACATCAACGACGTCATACGACTGAAAGCCCGTGTTTGTCGAACCTCGGTCCAACCCTGCAGGAATTGCACATGGCACTTGCAGGCACATAGCGCTGGGCAGCCAGGGGGGGAAGCCGAGGGTGGCAAGTTTTGAAGTGGACTTGAATGGGCAAAAGGATGCAACCGGATGATCATGGATCCTCAGAACCCTAAACACAGTTGGCCTTGAAGCACTTGAATCATCAGAGCATACCTGAGATCGAGGAACTGCAACACGTTGATGTGTGAAGCAGTTATGGCTCCTACTGTACCACTGCTGCAAATGCTTTTGTTTAACATGTGCAGTCATCCTTAATGATTCAATGAACATGCAACCACACCAAAAGAAAAGGATTTGCTTTTACTGCAGGAGGCACCATTTTTGGTATGCGGTATTGCTCATTAATTGTCATGGGCATATAAATGTACAATGTATAATATATAGAGCACATTTGATTGGTCCGTATATAATGTCGATTTTTCTATGTTCATTGTTCAAATGCCTCCTGTTGGATCTACCCATCAGGAGGACGTTCATGTTTGATGTTGCTCGATTGCTCGTAACTGGCGAACGAAAGAGGCCTCGGCTTGGAGCTGCCGGACCAGCACAGCTTGGATCGGGCAGGGTTTCGTGAGCTGGCGAGGACTGCGGAGGCCTGGCCTGGAAAGGATTGAACAGATTGAAGCCGGACGTTCTGATGGGTGTTTTGGCTGTTTGTTTGAGGGTGTTTTGAAGGGTTTTGATGGGTGTTTTGGCTGTTCGTGTCTTGTTTTGGGAGGGGAACTCTCATGAAATTCCTCCAACACTGTAACACATCCAATGCGTTCGGATCATGATCCTGCGGAAGGCATGACATCGGGGAGTGTAGTACTGGAGGCTTCATGGACTGGACGCGCCTTATTGGAGGTGTTTTTACTGGTTGTGAAACGGGGGCGGGCAATAAATGCGTCGAGCCACGCTAAAGACATTCTTGAGCCTTCAGCTGATTGCAACACCATAGGCGACATGCACCAATATCTGCGAGTGTCGAATAAACCTTGAAGAAATTCTCAACGTGGAACAGGTGACATGTGCCAAGTTTCTTCGTTTCAACAGGTGAACCTCCATGAGTGCGCTCGTGAAGATGAGCATGGAAAAAATGACGAAAACGGACCTTTGGAAGCCCAAAAACATCACATCCTTTTACAACCCATGTGTTTTTTTCAACCTTTTAGGGTTCCATGTGCTCCCGCAGCCCGCAGGGCAGTGGCTTCCGTCTTGCCGCAGTTCGGTCCGGTCGCAGGCCGAAGAGTCAAAGCGGGTCGTGCCCTTCGCCCTCCGGGGCCTCACGCGACGCGGCAGACGACGTGGACGACGCAGACGAAGCTAGCTAGAGTAGTTCCAAGGGCATTACTACTACTACAAGCACTTGTGTTAAGTCGTCTGGTCTTGTAGAAAGTCGGCAGTCGTATGCAAACCGGGTGACTAAACCCCAGCGCTAGTAGGAACCAGGAACTACTACTAGCTCCTGGCATCGCTACTATAGTAGCAAGAAGCTATAGTAGTAAAGGGAGAATCACGGGGTGACCTTGACATGTTTCGGTGGCTACCAGCTGTACAATAGGCATATAGGATGAGGCTATGAGTCGCTGCAGCCAGTGGGACTGAAGAAACCTAGGTTGCAACAGTTGGAGGCCATTTGTTCCGCGTGCAACCAGGACTGGCAGGGAGGAATGGCAGTCGTCCAGAAGATGAGGGCAAGCATGCCTGCAAAACACCTCACACAGTCGGCCCTCAGTTTTTGAGAGGGTCTTCCTTCATGCACCAGCAGGGGGGCGTTTAGTCATTTTCAAGAGAATCAAAATTCAGTATATATTCCACGCACTTGCTTCAACAGGATGGATGGCTCGCGAGGAAGTGTGAGGAGGCTGCAAAGGAAGGCTCCAGAAGCTTGTTGGATCACATGGGTGATGCAGGAGGATGCAGGAGGGTCATATATGACGTACTTGGGTGTGTATGCAAATAGGTAGGCCTCTCGATGACACACCCACTTGATCAACCCACCCCGGGCTGTAATCCTCTTTGAAATCACCCGCCTCGCCAAGACGCCACAACGGACGATGACAGACGAACCATTTCTCAGGTGCGACCTGACGTTTTCGATGAACACTGGGGAGATGGGGGGTGTTCGATACCCTCAACCGTTTGTGAAGTGAATACGAGTTTTTCGCATGTGTTTTACATGTTTGTTCGCTCCTGGGACTAGAATCACCGAGGATTTACGAGGCCGGACCTCTACTCTTTGAACCATTTCTTGGTGCGGCCAGCCACAGTCGAGGAGTGTGCCACTTGCTTCGCAATGCTTCGCATCGTAGCGCATCATTGGTGGAATGACCATGTCCAACGGCTTTTGTGGGTTAGAATGAAGCATAATGAACCGATGGGACTTCAACTACCTTGGTGCAGATGTTTCCTGTGAACAAAAGACATAGCTAGCACCTGGAATCCGCGCCTGCGACGTGTGACACGCATCGCCCACCGCTCCGCACAGGTCGTCTGTGCTCGCGTGCGCCCCGAGGTGTCTGCCCTACAGCCGGTGCCGGACGCTCTGCTCCGGAGCTTGGAGCTGTCGAGGCCCAAGAGGAGTTGCTGCTTTGCACAGCTGATGAATCCCAGGGGCCTCCCATGTGACACTTGGTGTGACTAGATGGGCGGGCAGCGGGTAGACGGGTAGACGGGCGACGGGCGGTAGTAAGACGATGTAAAGACGCAAAGTGCCAGCGATTCGTTGGTCTTTTGGATGCTATGAGCGTTTGATTCAATGAGGTCTTGAGAGTACCCATGAGGTCTTGGGAGTACCCTATAGTGGGACATATTTGCAGGCTCGAAGTTCAGCTGAGCCTTATTGAGTGGGAACCAAATGAACCTTCTCGATGCGCATCAGCTGTGAGACCTTCGCAGTGTGAGACCTTATTGATCGACACTAAGGACTTCTTTGTGAGTCATAGCTGGTCACACCCTTTTGCCGATTCAGTTGCTGCTTTGCAGAGGGAACTGATCTTGACGAAGGCTGGAGTGTCCATGGCTTGGATTGTGTCGAACAACTCTCAGCATAAGTCAATCAATGCCATCGACCAACTGACATCTCAATGTATCCCATACGCCATACACTCCATGTATGCAATATATGCCTACATTGACCCCCCAAACCACCCCAACTGAGCGGCATATATGGCACTCCCCTCTGAGTCTTTGCCATGTCACACGCCACGAAAACACCAGGAGTCGCCGCAGCGGATCCCAGCCTGCGTCTTCTGGATTTGCCTCTTCGCGTTGAATCAGCACCTGACTGCAAGGTGTACAGATATAGAGATGGCATGGTGTTTGATCATGGTTGATATATTGCATATATGCCATAAAGCATTTCCACAACCAACGTGACAAAGAACAGATGAGTTTTCCCTTTACTGATTTGGCGATAGGGCTAGCATTTTGACCACCTGTAATAATCTACCAGAGGTCTTAATCACTTCCTGGAGGATCAACAAGTAGACTTTTGATATACCCAGCCACTGGGCCGCATTGAGTGTCCAAAGCCATCGATCTTTTTGTGACCCCTGAGGCACAACCTGCAAAATGAACTCTCCAAAGACTTGGCTCAGATGCCCTTTGCATATGGCCTGGCGAAGGCCTCACGGGGCGTGTGGATGACGCCTGATTGACTAGCAGCTTGCTGTTTGCACTCTCTTTTGACAGAAGGGAAAGCGCAGGAAAGCGTACCAGGTGGGCTGCTACCAACCCAGCAACTTCCGCCCAATGCCAATGGAAAACTGGTCAACATGTAGGCATGTGCAAATGTATATACAATATAAATTACATACATATACCGTCATATACCTTTGACAAGCAGGGCGTTCCTGAGTTCCAAACTTGGAGCGTGCTTGGTTTTCCATGCGATCCAAGGATCTTGGACCAGGGAGTGGAGCCATTTCGGCGCATTTGGTGCCTTTATGAAGTTCAAAGAGCCTTTGAACTGGGGCAGCCCTTGCGACTGGTCTTGGATGGAGGCACCTGGCCTGGGAGGTGAGTTTTCTGCATGACGATGCATGACGCATGGCAACTAGTGTGACCCCCCACGACGTCCTTGGCCTCGAAGGGTGACTCTCGCGCCAAGGGCCGGCCTCACTGAGAAAACCAGTGCCGATCCCATCCAGCTGACACCTCCAGTCATCTCCAGTCCCATCCTGTCCCATCAGGCGCTGTGGGGTCACCTGGAGCTTCCAAAGCCAGCCCTGACCCCACCGCCGAAGCGCCCCTCGCGCTGCTGGTGGCGGAGGAGCTCCAGCGACTTTCAGCCTTTGAGGCTTCCGCCAGCGGCTTGGGCGGCCAAGACATAGACGGTTCACGGAGTGTCCACGGTCCCAAGGGCGTTTTGGAAGAAAGGGAATTCCGACCAAATGTGTTGGTGAGTGATTTTCCCATGGTTCATGAGCTTTTTCGTACTATATATAACACCAGAATTTGTTCCAGGATGCCAGGATGTTCCAGGTTATACGGTCATTTCCACTATGAGTCATTTGAGCCACCAGCACCACCTGTGGGCACCTGTAGCTTTGGTGTGCATATGACGGGTAAAGACCATCGATTGCGTTGATTCCTCGATGGCGCTATGGCTCATTGCTCCTACTATGAGTGAATGGTTTGTGCAGCATGGATATAATGGATAGCCTTAAATGATGTGCTGAGGCATCCTGGGAGACAAGATCAAGATCTGGCACGAGATCCTCAACCCATCGGAGACTTGGCCATCATAGACACTGAGTATGTGTATGTTTGTTGTGCATGTCCATTCAACTGCAATAATACTAAAATTTCATCCCGCTTGACAAAACCACCACAAACACTGCTGGGCTGCGCCATTCGCGCAGCCCGGAGTCGCGTCCACATTCGGAGCAGGTGAAGAATGCGTTCCCGATCCAAAAGTTTGAAACTCACTTCGAGGAGGGCACTTGTGCCATTCGGGGCTTTGGACCCAGCTGGCTCTTTGGAGTGGAGTGGAGGATTTGAGGGACCCGGCCGGGAGGTATGTAGGATACATAGCAGAAAGTTTCTTCTCTTGGGGTTCAAATCACAACTGGTGAGGGAGACGCCATCGCCTTTGAGTTTGAGATGCGTAACCCACTCCCAAAAGGAACAAAGGAAGAAAGTATCCACGCATATCCACGGCTGCAGTAAATACAGCGAATCCACATATGGAAAATGCATCTTCAACTCCTCTGACATATTCAGAAAGTTGGGTCCTATCATGACCGATGTTTTGCATGCAACTACGAGTACCGAAGTGACTCAACGTTCTTAGTTAATCTTGAGGCCCAAGAACAACATCTATCTACCTGCCGAAATTGGGAAGGTCTAAAAAGTCAAAAACATCTTCAAACACACCTTCACAAAAGCAACACAAGTCAGATTATGGTTTGAATGTGCAGAAGGAATTTGAATGATGCGTTAGGTTCATCATGTCAGAGTGAAGGAATCGGTTGAACATCCAAATAGCCAGATGTCCTCCGGGTTTTCCGAAAGGGATTTTCTGAGATTTCGGCCCGGCCGGATTCGACTCCGGAGGTTTACCCACTTCGACTCCCGCGTGTGTCAACTCCTGGCCACGCCGGTCTTCAACTTCTGCCTGGCGGAAGGCGCCGAGGTTCAGACTGTGAATGCGTTGGGTGCGGAATGAGGTGCCAAGTGAAATCAAGTGAAGGATATGACAGGATCGGGACTTTGGAAGGAAAGAAAACGTGGTGATCACGATGAAATGAATGTCCATGAATACCCTGTGAAGCTCACTATCAATACCTATAAGTATCTTGCCACGGGACAAGACCTGAACCACTTGGCAGACCTCGTACTCCGTGCTCACCAGTGTTCTGTGACTGTTTCTGGCTAAGAGTTTGGATGACTTGGGAAGCATTTTCCAATGAATCCCATTGATAGCTTGCGGCTAATGTCCTGGAGAGGGGGATGGAGGGAGAGAGAGAGAGAGTGAGTGAGTCAGTCAGTCAGCCAGTCAGTTAGTAAATAACTGGAATGATTTGGACGAGGTATACTTTGGGTCTGTGTCATGCTTTTTGCTGGGCCTCGGACGGCCACACATGCCTCCAAGCTGAGGTCGGGCAGCACTGGCTTTGCGATACTTGGGTTTGGGCGCTCAAAGCTCGCTGGAGGAGCTTTTGACCTGTGAGAGGCGTGGCAACTGGTGGAGCTGTAGGAACAATTGGTGCTTATTGGTGTTGAGGTTGGCTGAAGCCGCCCAGATGTTCAATTGGGTGGCCTTGGTTGTAGGCAGCCGGAAGCATGTTAACAGCATTTGGTTTGTCCGTGAATTGATGATGATGATGATGATGATGATGATGATGATGATGATGATGATGATGATGATGATGATGATGATGATGTGAATATTCGATGAGGTATGCCATGTGCCAGGTACAAGGACTACTCCAAAGTGGATTTGCAAGAGCAAGCTTGGTTATATAATATAACCCAAAGACGTCACAAGACCTCCTGGCAGAGGTCAATCTTCCAGGTGGTCCATTACCCTTCGGAGCTACAACTTACATGGCTACACTCGTTGCAATAATCATGGAAATGGAAGCTGGCCCCTTGGATGACCATTTTCCTCTACAACCAGGCGATTTTCCACTTCCATGATCATTTTGGTGAGTGCACATCAATGAGTTGTAGACAACGCTTGCGTGTCCATGACTGTGTCGCTTCTTGCCAGGCTTTTGGCGACACCGCTGAGAGAGGCGCCGTAGCAGGGATAGAATGAGTGGGAAAGCAGATTGGTCGGACTGAGGAACATCTTATATATTTTGTTTGATTCTTGGCTTGTTGAAGGGCTTAGCTGCTTAGTTTGATGATCCACTGAGTGAAGCAATGTAGTGGTGCCGAGTAAGGAAATCGTTTTTCCTCGCATGATGTACACCTGGAAATCCATGTTTGTTAGAGTTGTTTGACGACGCACCGATCATCCTTCTCCCCAGAATATGTGTGAATCATGAAATGGGATCCTGTACCGCAGAAGTGACTGTCACTCAAGGGTTCCAAAGGCACTAAGCAACATGTATATCGCTGTGCCCCCTGGCATGCCCTCGGTCTGCAATTTCCTGCGATGTGGTCATCGGCCTCACCAGCAGTTCTCCATTGCTTGGACGTTGATTTCATATTCAGTCAGATCATTGTTCCCCTCAATTGCCCCCGGCTCATTCCAAGAACTAGCAGCTGGACAAACTGGCTGACAGACCACCCCTGAGCAGAGGAAATGATGGTCCAAACCATTTTGTTAGCAACTGCTAAGCTGCTAAGGGCAACCTCCCGGAAGTGTCTTCCAGCATGTGCTTTCCAAGTGCGCATCCAACACAAGGCGTCACCACCAGTCACCCACCAGTTCAAAGCAATACCACTTCTGTCAGGCTTGGGTGTATAACCCCTGCTGTGGCGAAGCTTTGCTTCTTCACGTCTTTTCGCATCTGGGCGACTCAGAACGCTTGAGCTTCCTCCTCAAGGCCGCCGCAGCCGCTTGTCCGAGGGCCGACAGGAACATGGGGCAGACAGCACAACTCATGAGAACATCCTTGAGATGTTATCGCAACAAAGCGGGTTTCAGGATTCAGGTCCTGCATGTTCTTTGTCTCATCATGAAAAATGTAGCTTCATTCAATGTAGGGGTGTAGGTAGGGTGGTAGGGCTGTTTGCAAATTAGGATGCGCGTTTTTTCAAGGTGAAAGTGGGGGAATTGATATACCATGATAGCAATTTCCTCTCACAGTTGCATTCTTCACTGAGAACACTCAGTCACCCAGTGACGGGCACACATCCCCGCACCCAGTGGGGTCATCATGGGTCTCTAAGAATCCAGCGGAACGAGCTCACGATCAGAAGCAGCGCAGTGCCTTGCACTTTGCAGCGAAAGCTGGTCATTGCCACTGCCCCCCTGGAGCTGCAATTGATTGGCATCGGCTGGGATTTGGATGGCCGGCTGCAGGGCATGTGTTTGGTTGATGCCCGCCTGCGAACATTTCAAAACCGGACCTGTAGGGAGGAATCCATTCACTTCAGTGACCATAGGTCCTTCGGGATCCATAGGAATCCTTGCATTTCTTCAGGGTTCCATAGCTCCCCCTGTTGAATCATGTCACTCCGGTGATAAAACATGGCCGAAACCGGAAGCACCAAGGTGTCCAACAGCTGTTGGATGCCAAAGCTGCTGCGCACTGCCCAGACAAGAATGGAGAGACCCCTTTGCAGATCGCAGCTTACGGAGGTTCGGAATGCATTTTCACTGCCAAATGTGTTCTCAACCCGTTTTGCATGCCTTGCGCAAGGCTGGATATTGGCTTGCAGGGTGGAATCAATGATGGATGCAAACCAGGGTTTGGCACGACTGGTTGCTTCCACTGACTGGGGCCCATGGGGACTAGGATTGGGTTTTGTATTGCACCGGCGGTGCCTGTTGTGTTTGTTGTGAGTTGAAGGCTACAAACCATGCACCCAAGACCAGATGATGAGTCAGAATGTCCAGGCCACATAAATAGTTAATTTTAAGACTTTGCACCGTGGTAAATACTGGAGAGAGCTCAAAGTATTTTAAAATTGTTTATTTTATGAATTTGGGTTGATTAACAAAATTGCTTTTGGAGAGGGTTCCTTCAACAATTGCTGGACTGGGAGCGAGCCAAAAAAATAAATTGTTTTTTTGTTGCGTGTATTTTTTGTTTTTGTTAAAGGGGTGCTGTTTATGCAGTTGACTTGTCACAGGGTGAGGCTGTGGCTGTGAGAGAGAGAGGAGAGGAGAGCAGAGCAGAGAAGAGAAGAGGAGAGAAGATAAGAGAAGATAAGAGAAGATAAGAGAAGAAATGAGAAGAAAAGAGAAGAGTGAGAGAAGAGAAGAGAAGAGAAGAGAAGAGTGAGAGAAGAGTGAGAGAAGAGTGAGAGAAGAGTGAGAGAAGAG